AGTTGTTCCCACCAACGGCAACCAGGTCACGTCGGTTGGATTAACTTACAGAAATTGAAAATGCCTGCCAAAAACAAGGCAAAACCTGGGCCATGCACAGTATTCGCTGACCAAAACAGTGCAAACCTGGGCCGTATTTAGAAATCCTCAAACACAGATGTGCAAAGGCTGTGGGGCCACTTTTGCGAGGAAGGCGTTGTTTTGAGGTAGACGTTGTTTTGCCTTGGTATTCTGGAACCTTTTGGAGCCAGGTTTTTTTCCTCCATCCATTTGAATCCATTTGGTGTCAGTATGTCAGGGCTACATTATTGGATGCGGTTGTGATGGCCCATTTCGTACCGCACATTCTCACCGTAGTCGGTTGCACATGAGTTTGGAATTGTATGGAGTGGAACCTTTAGCCAAACTGGTTTTGAACCACAATGGTTGAGCGAATAGCACATTTTTGTTTGGTTAATGCGCTCATGTACAAGGTGATGTTGTGCCACTTGTGACTTGCGCGTGCGATTTGCGCAGAAACGGCATTCCACAAACGTGTGTCCACCTCGTGCAGTGGACATGTGGCGCATGCCGCAGTTTTTGGCCAATCAGTGGCGGTCTAACACATATAAAACCACACATAAAAACAACATTTTCGCTTAGGATTCCGAATTTGCGGCACAAGAACAACATATAACAATGCAACTCGTTAATGCAATCCACTGACGAATAAATTCCCATTTAGGAATTTTCAACTCCAGTTCCCGGCCTGGACCTTGGTTTGTGGGACCAGATGTTTCCCGAATCGGGTGGTTCGGTGGAAGGTTCCTGAAAAAGAACAAGGCACGGTCAGTGTGCGGTGAATATTGGTTTCAAACTATTTCAAATGGTTTCAAAATGTACCATGTCAATCAGTGAGGCAGAACCTTTCCGTCTGCGTTGTGATGGGCATTGGCAGTATGCCTGACCAATTTAGAGCAAAGATTCGGTTGTGGTGCTTGCTGGTCACAAGATCACTTGTCATAAGCAAATGCATTTGATTAGACTTCATGCTTGCACCAACCGATTTTTGTGACTGGATTTTGTGACTGCCAGGTTCGGTTGTGGAATGTCTTTGCCTCAGCATCCCAGGTTTTCGCCCAATGTTTGATGATGGATTGGAGGCTTTGCCAGGTAGACTAGGCCTGGGCGTGATCAAGGTCTTCTCTTAGTGCTAGGTTCCTAGGTTACAGTTGGTCATTTTTTGACTTCGAGGCCCAGATGATTGGCAATTGGCACCTGTCTCAGGTTTGTTCAACACAGTATTGTTCACAGATACAGTACGTTGTCATTGCATCTGTACGATCTGTACGATCGCTTGCGATTGTCATTGCATCGCTCCGTCCTTTGATGACCATCCATTCACACCAGTCTTTTCTTGTAAGGACCCGCGAATTGCCGGAGTTCAGGCACGTCCATTTGGGGTCCTGACATGATACCCGTTTTCACCCTACACTGGCAGAATCGGATGAACATTCAATGACAGAAGAAGGCCTAGGACCTGCGGCAGGCACTCAACAACCTTTTTTTTGCAGGTGGTGTCAATCTTAGTGTGGACTGCGACCGACTGAAATTGCCATACTTCGGGGAGAAAAGAAAGACTCACATATATAATATATTCATTTAGTTATATACATAATTCTAGAATGATTTGGGGCCTTCACCAGCTGGCCTTGTGGTTTGTTTGGCGATAAGGCAGTACTGGCCGGCAATGGGACTCTGAAGCCGCCGTCCTGTCGGCTTTGGTGCATGTGGTGGCCCCAAAGATTTGATATGGTTGGTATGGCTTTGCGAGGAAACGGCCCAAGTTCCGCGAGATTGCCAGCTTCTAGAAGATGAATGTGAGCAAATTCTTGTAATGCTGTGTGGGGCAAATGCTGTACCTAGGAAAGAGCCCCACCCAGCCGGCATTCGGAAGCCTTGGTAGACCAGCAGTGCGGTAGCCCAACTTTGGCGGGATTGAAGCTTGAAGACTTTTTATTGGATGCAATCCTGGTGAAAAAGGGTAGCGACTTAGAGATTGACATGAACCCCATATTTCACTGCCAAAACGTATTTGTCGTGGATTGCTTTGGCGCAGCCATCAACTTCAAACAAAAGGTCATACAGGTCGCTTACGAGTGGAGTTGGTCATTTGTGATGTCCCTTCCCTCTTGAAAGAAACCCAATCGGCACAGACTTCGAATCCTGCTAGCCCCTGTGACAGACAATCACAAGCTGAATATGAAAAAATCAAACATCACAGACCTTCACCATACCTGCAATGACCTGGACTTGACCCTGAACAGTTCGGGTCAGATGACGCCCACACCATGGCTGCGGGGTCTCGGCGCATTGCGGCAGCTGCCAGGGCCTGGGCGTCTAGCAAGGAGACTTTTAGAGAACAACTTGTGAGGTTATCGTAACTGTCGTAACTTATTTTCTATTCTCGAATTTCCTTGGGCTGGAGAAATGTGCAGCAAAAGGGCAGTAAAACGGGGGCCCAAGAGATCTTTGCCAATCATGTTATGACTGTTATGAGTCAATCTAGCACGAGTTGATCACATGCTCAAAGGCTACCGATCAGGTGGTTCCTTCTGCACCTTGAGGCGATTTGCATGCGATCATGTGGTTGTAATGATCATCTCAACCATCTCCACTTTCACCATATTCCAATGACATTCAAATGATATTCCAATGTTCCAATGATCAGTTTCAACAATACGATACCGCGATGCCAAACGTTTGCGGAACGTCTCAGGAGATCTTTGGGCAGCGCATCTCCGACCATGTGCCGCAGGAGTTCACCTTTGCCCCTGAGGGATCTGAGGGATCGGGCATCCAGGTCCTCAGCTGGAATATCATGGCCAGAGCCTTGTGCAGAAGGCCAGGTCGGCCAGGTGGCAGGCATCAGTTGGCATCAGTTGGCACAGATCAACCAAGAAGGGTTTGGGTTTAGGGCTGATTTTGGGGATAAAACATGCTGAAGTTCTTGACATCAACGGCATCATTGACCCTCAAATTTTAAATTTGCTGAACACCACACCAGCACTCACTTCATCACATTTGGCTGCAGGAAGGCGGTGGAGGGCCAGGATTCAGAAATCTCCAACAATGGCCTTGAGATGGATGAGACCATCCAAGAATACACTGAGAGACTGCTGCAGAAGGTTGCTCCCATGATCATCTCTTGGATTCTTCAGCACTACCGGGGCAGCCGGCGGAAATGGATTTGTTGCTTGCAGGAGGTGCCTGGACATCGCCATCTCAGGCGAGATCTGTTGCAGAAGGTGCAAGCTGGACTGAAGGACAAGGGAGCTTCCCTTCAATCTGCAGAGCATCTCGGACATGCAGTGGCGGCCAATTTCTTTTTGGAGTCATGGTCTGAAAGACAAGGGCAAGTATTGGAGATGTTATGGAGAATTGTATGCTTGATCCTCAAAATAGGTATTTTGACAGTTTGGCACTTTGAGATAGATTTCAAGCCAGCCAGGCAAGCGACATCTGCCTTCATGTGCACCGTCACTCTGTGGGAGACTGCAGCCTGGGATCTTCAGCATTGTGCCCACAGCGACCACGTGTTGTGCACCGTTCTGTCGTCTAAAGGGACGGGTGGAGCTCCAGTGCTGTTGCGGGTGATGAACTGCCACCTGCCACTGGACCAGGGACTGATATCATCGACCGAATCGACCTCCATGGCTCGGGTGGTGCAGTTGTTGGCCGAGTCGCCAGCGCAACAGGTGGCCCTGGTGGTCGGAGACTTGAAGCTGGATTTGGCCGTGGAAGGAGCGGCACAAACACTTCGTGAAGCCTACGCAAAATGTGATTTGTCAAAATTCAGCACCGATTTGAGAATATTGTACAGTGACTTGCCAATATTATATGTTTATATGATTTATATGCTACATGTATTTCTTAGCTCAAGCGCGCTCCAAGTCTTTCAACCCACGTTTGAATTGATCCAAACCCAGGTTTGGCGGATTCACCAGAAGTTGTAGGGTCTGCCCCTGAGAACTCCTTGCTGTGTGCTGTTGTACCGGGTTCATCCCTCTATGATTGGACGCGTGGGACTTTGGATGCAGCCATTATGGCACCTGGCCTCTCGGAAACCGAGAAACTTCCCGCGGTGCCCACTGGCAGTGTTTTGAAGAGGTGGGATCCATTGAACGGACTCAGCTCCGAGGAGTTCATTGCGCAGTACATCAACTACAATCTCCAGGACCGGGTGATGCGCCATTTGCCCAGTTTCACAGCTGATGAGCTGGGACGCCTGGGAGCTCATCATTTTGGAGACCAAGCAGATGAGCTGCATCGATTGCTTCAGGTGCAAAAGCCCACAGGGAATCCCAAGGAGTTCATAGAGATCGAAGTTCCCAAGGAGGACACTTCTTCTGTGAAGGTTCTTGGAGCAGCACCTCCGGCATCAAGTTTTGTGGTACGTGCGGCCACAACGACACAACCACCGCCAGACAGCAGGGGATTCGCAACGCCAAAAGATCGGCAGGATTTCATACAGAAACACATCCATCGGAAGCTCCAGAGCAGTGTCGCTGAGTTGAACGACGAGGACCTGCGCCTGTTGGGTTTGCTTCATTTCAGCGATCAACCAGCAGAACTGCAGCGCTTCTTGAAGCCCAGACCTGCCAGGGGCTATGAGAAAGCAGCCGCTGTGTGCGGCGAGCGTTGGCAGGCTGCACCAGAAGCTGAAATCGTTCAGTGGAGAGCCAAGGGTGATGGGATTGAAGGACTGGCAGAATGGCTCGCAGAGCTGGGCTTGGAGGAATACCAAGAGGTACAGTGGGATTGAAATCTTCAGACTTGCATGAGTTGGTTTAGTTATTCTATTTTTTGACATCCTGCATCATGCTGCAATTTTCTTTTTTCCTCCTCCTCTCCTTTTAAAGCCCCTGGCCCCTGTCGAGGCTGCGGCACTTTGGTGCAAAGACATGGGTGCCATTTGGCTGGCGGAGGTCAAAGAAAATTCGGAGGAACTCGCTGATCACCTGGGCCTTCGGCCCCTAGAGCGACGGCGGTTGCTCAGAAGTCTCGGATGATGCCAGCGGAAAGTGGTTGCCCGGAAGGGTCAATACCTCACATGTTCACAGTGAATGACAATGACAGGTTTGACGAAGGAATAGTCTTCACAAGCTTGTGACGTTGTTATTTAGCCTCTAGAGAGTTGGTAGCTGGAGATTTTTGATCCCTAGGGTCGCATGCGCTGTTTGGACCAGGTGGTGGCGTGACCACATCGTTGGGGATCAAGAGTCTGCTTCCACAGCTTTCGATTTATTTGTGGCCGCCTTAGAGATCGCAAACCTACTCCCATTAAAGATTGCCAAAGGCTGTTGGGGTGGTGAGTCCTTCGGTTGACCTAAGGCAAAAACAGCCCAAACCAGCACCAATTCATATGTTGCTAGATGCGGAGTGGAGTCTTGAGGATGACTTGTTTGTTTATACAGTAATTGATAGACATGATTCTTCTATAGTCCAAAGCTCCTCGTGAATGTCTTGCGCCGCAGGCCACCGACCCTGCAGGCTGCCAGGTCAACCTATACGAGGCAAGCTGTGAAATCCGTGAGTAGTCACCCAATTTTGTTGCCTGGGTTCCAAACGTGGCTGTAGAATCTTCGGGTACACCATGAGCCCCCCAAAACAAGGCTTCACCCAGGCCTTTAGATCTCGAACTTGGAGCTTGGAACTTCAACAATACATCTTCGAACATTTCGAAACGACAATATATACAGTAATGAAGCTGCTGCTTTGCTTGGGATGAATGATTGGCCTTCTGTCGAAAATGTTCAGATTGATTTTTGCTATATAAGTTGAACCGGAAATGCTAGGGCTGGAGATGGTTGCTATCTCCCTCAAAGGGCCCTTGAGACCATCGAATTGACACCTGAGGTTTTGACCTGTGCAGCCTTGCTGTCTCTGCGCCTCAGACGAGAAGCCAAAGCCACGTCCACAGGGGTTCCGGCAATGCACGACCTGTGCAGCAGAAGCAACTTGGCAACTTGTGGGAAATCTAGTCGAGTTGCTGAGTCTAATGGGCTGAGGCAGCTGTACTTTGTCTGGTGTGGAGCGGAGCTGGGCTCAGATCAATGGTCCATTCTGCAGACATCCACAGACCGCTGTGGAACTGAGGCCGCGACGATGGGCGACTTGGCGTCTCTGCCATGATCAGTTTACTATGCTCGCTGCTGCAGGGATCTCAGCACGTAATTAGCTGTTTTGACCAAAGTCCATCCAATATTGAATGAAGAAATGCAACCTAGATAAGACCTGATTTTCTTCCAAAACCGTGAGAGGTCCGTACCGTGTCAACTTAAAAATCACAAAAACCTTTGTGCTTGGAGCCAGCTGCTGATTTACAAGCATCGGCCTGCATAGGGAAGGAAGATGCGGATCTTTATTTGTGTCTTAAAGATAGGCCTCGAGGAACTGCAGACAAAGGAACCCAGCAACATTCAGGGCAGGTAGACAAGAGAACCACGTGGTCATCGCTGCAGCTCCAGTAATTCATCTGCCCTGAACTGCTGTGGAAGAGCAGAGCCAACCTAGGCAGGGCCTACATCGTTTGGGAGTGCTGGTACCATCCCCCCCACCAGTTGAGGCTTGCTGTGGAACTGGGACGGGTTCGTTGGGTTTAGTGGGAATGATCCGAAGTCGGGCAGAGGACAGTTTGAAACTGAGCATATTTACCCAGGCATCCATTGCTTGGTAGACTGCTGGTTGGCAGGAAATCGAGAACGACATTTGCAGATTGCCAGGAGCTCAGAAGCTAGGCTTTTTCAAACTGTACTTCAACTTGACCTGTCATTGATGGATCGCTGCCAGCCAGGCAGCCAAAGCAAAGCATTGACTTGGTAAGACGATGTAAGACGTGTGAATCACTTCCACTACAGGCTATGGGTCTTGCGAAAGCACCAGCCGTGTCGGGGCGATGCCATTGCGTTTGAGGCAGGGGTTCCTGTCAAGATTTGAGGCGAGGATGTTGCCACGATGAAACAGCACATCACTGAATGCGAGTCTTGGTATGTCATGAGCGCCATGTCGCAGCAACTCGTTTTGCGGGAGGCTATTGAGGGGACAACAGGAATCATCACGAGTTAACAGGAACCATTGGAACCATTGGAACCATCAATGCGCACCAGCTGCAAATGTCCTGAGGAGCTTCTGCTGCTGGCAGACCTGGATATTTGCGTTGCGCTGTTCTGCGGTGCCTTCGAGCCAACGGATCCGGAGCCCGACCTGGTGCGGCCGCAGAAGGGGATCCATCCATCCATCCATCCATCCATCCATGTTCTTGCAACAGCTGTGAGTCCAGCACCCCATGAAACTTGAATGTTGCCAGGCCCGTGTCAGTGCCAAGCACAGCAGAGAGCAGCTGGCTACACAGCCAGGTGCACCCAAGGCTGGGTCGGCTGCTCCTTTGTGCAAGTCCTACATCAGGAAAAAGCAGAACTGGAAAATTGCGGAGCGCGGGGGAATGGAACTTCTGATGAAATCTGATGACATCTATCTCAGGTCTATCTTGTTGATTATGTAGGTTGGCCGTTCCTTTTTAAGACAGGCATGACATGCTATGGCTATTTCTGTAGATCGGCTCTTCGCCCATTGTACCATCAGGTGAAGTCCAGCAAAGTTGGTCGTGGAGCGCCTGTCCCACCTGGTCCACGGGGGTCCCCGCCATATGGCGGCCCTGGCGGCCCTGCTGCCCCACGAGGCCCATGATTTTACATTGGTGAGGTGCTGCCAATGGTACAACGAGGCATTGCAAAGTCTGCTAAGTGAAATAAAAAGACTTCGAGTGAGTTAGGCCCTAACTGTTAGGGTAAGGCGCACCAACTTTGACACCAGGACCAGGCTAAATGCCTTGCAGTAAGTGAAAGGAATGTTTGATGGATAGTTGAGTGGCTGCACTGTTTTGTGTCAAGGCTATTTTTAAAGGGTTCCCCACCCGAATGCGGCCGCAACATGGTGGTCAGGCAGAGACAGTAGCAATCCACCGGGAGATCGTTCGGCTAAGAAACCTGCCGTTGCTCCAGAAGCTACCAAGGTGGAGTCCTTGTGTCAAGAAACCGGAGCCACACATGGCAAAACATTGTAAAACGCAATGCTTGTGGTGGTGGGACTTACTTGATTTTGGATAAAGATTTGACTTGATCAGATTTGCCTTGTCACACATCCTTCTGGATGGCTGCTGCCCGAGGTCTCTGCCGTCACGGCATCAGCTCTGATGAGCCGCAGGGAGGTGCAGTTGAGGGCCGTTTACCCGAAGCGGTGCCTTGTATCCGGTTCAAACGAGTACAGAAATAGAATGACAATGCATGACATAGCAATATCTTAGGCACCCAATTAAACCATGATTGGAACCCGCTGATGACCCATGACTGAAATGGGTCAGGTGCTGGAAGCCTTTGAGACCTTCAAAGCCATCAGAGCTGAGCAGGAAGAAATGAAACAGAATGAAACGACAAAACGCTACAGTGAAAATTTGATTCTTCTGCTGATGTACCTGGTAGTACCTATTACGCAGAGACGCCAACGATACAGGAAATCTCCTGATGTTGCCACGCTTATTCGTTCCAGTTGGGCTTCTCATTGGATCAACAATCCGATGTTAGCAGCTGTCAGACCTATGCCCCAGGAACGTTTGCCCCGCTCCTCCAAATGTAGCTATGACACCTCAGCGATCCGCTCGCCGCTGGACTGATAAAGTGGGGCCCAATTGTATGGTGGAAGTTTTCAAGAGAAACTTGGGGGTGATTTCCTCCCTATGCATTTCGCTATGCATTTCGCCCATTTTTTTAGGCTGCAAAAGATTAAAGTGCCACAAGTGCAAATGGCGGTGCGGCGGTTGCTGTCGTGCGGCCGCCCAGACCTGCCCGACCTGGCCGCCCTGGCCCTGCTGGCCATGCCCGGGGCGTGACCGCGGTGACCGTCACCGAGGCGTGGACAGGCCTTGGAGCTGCGGGACTTCTTGCGGATGTTGGCCAAGGCCAAGGCAAGGTTTGATGGCGGCATGGTGTGGGGGTGGGGGTAGGGGCCCCCATCAAGTGGACTCCCATCATGTTTCAAGCGAAGGATTGCACCAAGCTGTCAGTAAACCTGGTGCTGAAAGGCTCCTGCGGGGTTTTGTGATGGTCATTTGCGAATTTTTGAAGCTTGGATTACCGAGCGTGCTGGGACCTCAGCACAAACTTTGTTGGAGGGAGTGGGGGTTCGAGGCAACTGCCCAAGCCTGTCGCAACTGACTTGTGGAACATCAACAACTGGAGGTTCAGCTGACCGACTCTGAGCTCATCAAGTATCGCCTGGTGGGGTGCCCCAGATGACCGTCGCAACAGAGACTGCAACTCTTAAGAACTACAGTCAAAGCCAAAGCCTCTTAATCTCGTGGTTTTCAGGACAAGCCAATTCCGGCCAACAGCTCAGAGAGAACCGGACAGCGCTGTGTGATGTCATGTATTATTTGTATATACATATATATATATATATATACAGTTATATACAGTGGTTTTGCCATGTTTCGTTATGTCTTGTTTGGTCACATTGAAGCCACCACGCACCCTTGCGGTCGTTGCCAACCATTGCACCCCAGATCTCGTTGCCGGGCGTCGTGGCTTCCAACGGCGGCGAAGCTGGTCGACGGCGGCTCCAGGTGAACGGCCCGGAGTGGCCCGGAACGGCCCGGTCGAAGCACCGATTCCGCTAAGGGGTCAGCGGGTTAGCGGGTGAGCATTCGAATAGTGTGCCATCAAATGTGAATTTATCATTGAATCGTGGGGATATTGCACCCAAATCCGTACAACAGAAATCAACGTGAGGTACCATGATGTATGGAAATGGGGATGCCAGGCATTGATGAGACGATCGCGGGCAGTGACTACTCAGGCCACCTTTGGGTGGATGAAAACTGGTGAGATGGGGATCATGAAATTTATGCGGCCCGGTTCGCTCATTTTTCGGATACACATTGTTTTTGAAGGAGGGTAGTGGTTGCGACCCCAATTTTCGATACCAGATATTTAGAGGGTCCATGGATCGGATGCTTTGTGCGGCAGGCTTGGCTGCAAAGGCAGCGGCAAGCTTTGGCTGAGGAGGTCATCCAGGGATTTCGGACGGCGTCAGTGGGCTGAACCTCATTCCTTTTGAACACCAGATATTTTCAGAAGTGATACCGTGATACTATCAGTGATACCCCCAGAAATCTAACATGGCCATGGAAGATCACTCAGCTTAGTTTTCTCTTTGCATTTCCCTTGCCATTTTTCCCACCCCAAGGGCACGAAATACTCGACTGTACCAGCATGTGTCCAACTGCCCAACCCTGGCAGGTCCATGCACAAATCAGTAGGAGCCTCAGATGTGCGGCAAACGAATGAACTCCAAAGAGGTCGCCATGAGATCTTTTCAAAACGGATCAAACAGTGGCCTGGGTAGGTATTAGTGGGTCATTTTGCCCTGGGGTCATTTTACCATGTTTCGAAGACTCCTTACCTTCCGATCCTTGGATGTTTGTGGGGAACTTCGACAGCGACCCTGCGGCCCATTGTCTCTGCCAGGTGCAGCTCCAGGCGATTACGTTCTAACTTTAGAGCAGATGGTCATCCAGGGTGTGCTCCCTGCTGAGTTGGCCACCGCGGCTGCTAGGAGCTTTGGTGCGGCTGCCCACTGGGTGGTTGGGTAGTACAGGGCCGTTAAGGTGAACAGAAATGTTTCTGTTCATGTTTTCTTCACCGGGTGCTGCTGACATAGGTTGGGACGGCTCCCACCTCGTCAGTGAGGGTGCCTTTTTGGAGCTCTTTGTGCCGGTAGCGCCTGAGGAGCCGCCAGGGTAGGACCTGGTCAAATGTGACAGTATCCCCCATATCACTGCTGAGTATCTCCACGCCCATTGTACATAAGCATGCGCTCTCTCACACGCACATTTGTATTTGACATGTCCATCACGTTTACGCAATATCATTTTTCACGCGCACGCATATCCTCCTGTGCGGCTGGCATATATATATACACGCACGCATGCGATTGCTCATACCTATAGCCTATAGTCTATAGCCTTCATCCACCAGAGAGTTATAAATCACGCAAACGGGCAGGATTTCCACACTTTGGTGTCTCGGCAGTGAGGGGTGCAGCACTGGGGAGAACGTGGCTGGGGTTGATGCGTAACAAAAAAGTGCAGGTAGACTTTGTGTATTGCTGACCTTTGCTTTGGTACTTATTTGTTTCAGTGACATCCAGCCATTGTTTTTGAATTAGGATGTCATTTCCCACCTTCATCATTTCACTCAAAATGAGTATCCTTGTCTGCAAACCCAGGATTTCATGCGGGCCTTCCGGCGGGCATGGCTCTTTGTGACTGAGACACAGGTGCTTCCGGGGGTTGCTTTCTGAATGCTCTGTGATTGTGTCATTGGCGTTCATCATTGAAACCCAAGATGCTGTGCTCGTCTCGGGCCTAGCAGGGCCTAGCAAAAATTATGACACAGTGGGCAGGCCTAGGCTCCCAAAATGGATTGCCTATAGCCTAGCTGAACCTTCGGGATGGCGATGGAGAGAGATAGCCTATAGCCTATAGTTATTCAATGTTATTCCTATAGTTATTCATCAACTTAGCCACCTCATACTCAGTGATACTAACTTCTGTGTGTCAGTGGTTCTTTTGACGGACTTCCGTGCCGCCAGGATGTGGTGGACTTCCCATCGCCTGACAAGGAGGGCCGACATGCCACCTGAGAGTTGCGCGGCACGGTTTTCTGGTCCTGTTGAAAAGGAACTTTTTCGGATGGCCTGTAGTGTTAAATGTGTTGTGTAGTAATGATGATGATGATGATGATGATGATGATGATGATGCTGCTGCTGCTGCTGATGCTGCTGCTGCTGCTGTTGCTGTTTTCTTGTTGTTGTCGTTGTGGTGGTGGTGGTGGTTGTGGTGGTTGTGGTGGTGGTGGTTGTGGTGGTGGTGCTTGTGGTGGTGGTGGTGGTGGTGGTGGTTGTGTTGGTGGTGGTGGTGGTGGTGGTGGTTGTGTTGGTGGTGTTATCCGTCGTCGTTGTTGCAGTTGTTGCCTGCATCTTCCTATCCATGCCATCAGCGCGTCTCGGAAGGAGGGCGGGAACTAGTTCTTTGGAGCTGGGGAGCTGGAGGCCTGGAAGCATCGGGCATAGAGATGGCATGGGGCCTGCAGGGCGTCATTGGGAAACCCGGGTTTTTACTATCAAATCTATCAAACATAGGAGGTGGTTATAGGTTTTCTATGGTTTTCCTCTACATCTTCCCTTGGTTTGCCTCGAGGGATGACAGTCATCACCTGGCACAGGGCGAGGCTGAGCTGTTGCTGGGACGTCGGCTGCGGCCGAGCTCAGCACCTGCCAGTTCCAGCACCATGGATGTGAACAGAGACCCCACGCTTCAGGCGGTTCGCGGGTGTGGGATTCTTGGATGGTTACACCATGTTACACCTGAGGGTTTAGGGTGGGAAGTGACAGGCCGGAAGGTTGTAGATGTCCCTGTCAGCAACATGGGGCTTGGATTTGATGAGCTATGCCGCTGAATGCGCAGGAGCGACGTGCGGGGGATGAGGCTCCCAAGGCAGCGGTGCCCTGATGGGAGTTGGATGAGTTGAATCTGTCGGTTGGTTGGGTTCGCTCAAACATGGTTATGTTACAACTGTTCTAACCTTTTCAGCTAAAACCCCCCACATTTCCTATAATGATATTTTACGGTCTTATGATCATTTTCCTCCTTTCAGCCATCAGCGCAGGTGGGCATCGCCGGAACCAACCACCTGGAGAAGGTTGGGCCGGTTGGGCTTTTAGTGGCGTTGCACACGCCAGCTGACTACACTTCCAGGTGCTGGGTTCCTCGGGTTCCCCGGTCGAGCAGGACCTTTGCCAGGCGGAGGGTCAAATTCTGATGACATGCAGAGCCGCGTGTCTCCAGTTTGGCGCCGTGGTCAGGCTGAAGACCAGTCTGCAGGCACGGAAACGTCCGAAAATGATGGCTTAAAGGAGGTAGTTCAGGTCCGTTGGAAAAGAATGGCTTAGCATTACGCGAAACAAGATGACAATAGACAGAGCGTCACTCTGTTCTCACTAGTCCTAATATATTTAGCTGGTGCGATTCCCTGGAATCCCTGCGCCAACTCAAGTTGATGTTTGTGCGCCCGCAGGCAGCTTGAGCGACACAGGGCCACCGGATGGTGACGGGGAAGGCGAGAAGTTGAATGGATAGATAGATTTGAGGAAAGATATCCTCCATGAACTGGTGATGAACTAGGTGATGAATCAGGCCATGAATTGGGCGATGAATGGTGGTTGGTTTCAAACCGTTGGAAGCGTTCAATTTCAGAAAGAACGGATGCAAGGACTTACAGAGTGGTTGGTCATCCTCGAAATAAGCTTGGAAGCAAACCTACGAACGTTTGGTCGTGGTCCTTGACATGCAGCCTTCGTTGTCGCTAGGCAGTGTTGGGGAGGAGAGCAAGGCTGCTGGTGACGAAATGCTTGAGATTGTTGATGAGGCACGTGGAACTCTGTTTCAATCTGTGAGTAAAACTAGAGGGATTTGATGGGATTTGGATCAAGAAAGTGACCGCCTTCCTTGGCCAGGCTTTGGCAAGCCCAGTCACTCAGGAAGTGGATGCAGCGGAGGAGGTCGAGGACAGTTCGGATGCATGACAAGCTGTTAGTATCAACTATATCATTGCATCTTGGTTTACCCCAGTGACTGCTTGATTACATGATATTATATATATTCAAAGGCTGGTTTCCGTGAGTAATGGTCGCGTGTCGGATTTGCATGGGTTTGCAAGGAGAACGTCCAGGTGGAGGTTGTACAGAGTGCCCGGGAGCCCCGAGAAGATTTGTGAACACCCACGCAACAAAGATTTGTAAACAGATGCAGGTATAGTTTCAGATCAGATGATGCGAGATGAGATGATCATTTGTTGGCGGGGGGTTCCGCGGGACAGACCATCAATAACCAACACCTTTTAACCATGCCCCAAGATGAGACATCCGAATGAGGGCAGGAGAGCATTTGACCCATCTCCAAGCTGAGTTTTTCTCAAGTTGCTCAGGCCCCTCTGGATGTTGAGGCTGCTGTTGTGGAAGAGGCAAGGCAATCTTCAGCATTTGGTAGATTTCTATCTATATAAATGACTTCGATGTCAAATGTGTATCGATATGTTAGTTTCAGTTTCAGTATGTTTTTTGGCCAGTTGTGCATCAGTGAATTGTGCCGATTTGATCCATTGAGCATTTGCAAACAGTATGGGGCCAAGAGTTCACTGAGATTTGTTCGATTTGGGTGCAGGAAATAATGGGGTAAGTTGGGGCCGGAGTGTCGGAGAATCCAGATTAGAGGAGCTGCCGAGCCCGAGCCATGCCAGCCTCGGTGGGGAATCCAAATGGCCACAATGAGGACGTTTCCCAAAGAACTTAGAAATGCTTAGAATTAGAATATTTGTGCCAAAAGACGGCCATTTGTGTCCTCAACACAACTTCCCGCCCCAAAAATAGCATAGTTCGGTTTAGTTCCTGATCCCAACACCGGGCCCTATCAACATCATCAACATCCATCAACTGAGGTGATGTGGTTGAACACCTCGCCGACCCCCCGGAGATTGAGGCCGAAGAGGTTGGCGTTTGCAGCTCGCCCCTTCAGGGCCAAGCAAGTTGAAAACGCTTCGCTCGCCTCGCGATGTCGTCCTGTTTCACCTGTGCTGCATGTGGCCCAGAGGCCGAAATAGAACCATTGAAACGGGAGACCATTTGTAAGATGATATGACCATTCTGACTATTGGTGCTAGTGCGTCTAGTGCGTTGGTTATCACTGACAACCCGAAGTGCCTAGATTTTGTGTATAAACCGGGTAAGAGTTTAGAATATCTCATAAATAAAAGTTTTGTCTTCAGAAAAATCATCTATAATCAATACGCAAGTAAACAATTTGGTCATCTTCATCTTCTTCTGGTATTCAATTACTTTGTGTTGGGTGTCTATGATATGAGATAATGCTTCGGCGTTGTATTCATCATATAAGTATTGTTCCTACTTATTATCTACCTTCAGTATTGTTCCTTCTTATTATCTACCTTCAGTCTCAGTTCTTTTTCAATGTATATAGTTGATTACTTCTTTGTATGCTTCGTTTATGTGAGCAGTCGGTGATACAATGTATATTAGTTCAAAGCATCCTCTGTAAATTTTCTACACTGGATTTTGAATTATAATATCCCTTTACCATTTTGATTGGCAGGCACTGACAATTATTGACCTAAAACGTAATCTATCTGCTTGGGGATAAGGTGCTTGTTTGAATTCATATTGCGTAACATTGATGGGTTCCATTTTAGGTATGTCTAATTTTGCCATTATTACTATTACTTTGAAATCTGTGTTTAATGTAAACATTAAGAATCATCTTTCCTATTCATAAGCACGAGGACGGGAATAGGCAATGTTCATCTGTAAAACACAGAGTTTGTCCGTGCAGAATCATCCCAGAAATGGTGTCTTTATGTATGTTTCAAGTTCAGGAATGATTGTATTTTGCCCCGTGGCATGCTGAGGCGCTTGGGGTACGACCAAAACAAAATGGGAAGAAATACCCATTAATGAATGGGGATGAAATTAGCAGAAAGTGGATACAACCAGCAGAAGAGAGAGACATATTCATAGGGGTCGAATTGGTGGATACTAATCAACAAAAAAATGATGGTGGTATTTAATCAACAATTGTGAATTTGGCAATGTATCTGTATACCTAGCATGTGTTTGTACAGCCCAGTCCTTAGTGGCGGCTCCTTTTGTTTGGGCCAACAGCTCGCCCTCAGCCTTAGCTGAACCTTTGGGATGGCGATGGAGAGAGAGAGAGAGATTTAATCAACAATTTAGCACACATGCTTTTGATAGCCATGTCGCGGTTTCTGGGCATGCGCCCCCGGAAGTTCTATGATGCTGAAATGAAATCAATATTGTTTGCAACCATTGGATCAAAGTCCAGCGTGGGAATTGGAGCATGGTGTTGCTTTTCACCAGCTGACCATGTGCAAAATAATCAGATATTGCCCGCGTAGTTTGGGTCTCACTTCAAGAGAAGCAGTGCATAGGAAAGCCACCTACAGCGGAGTATTGCAAAATCAATGCCTGCACGAAATTGAAGCATCTTGGATGCTTTTGAAATTGTGCGGGCTTCCACTTGCATGTGATGTGTCACCCTTCGTGCAATTTGCTCATTGGCCACCAAGCACATGCGAATTCCAGCGGGTCTCTTGTGGTTTGAGAACGGCCCAACTTCCAAGTCCATTTTGTGAGCCAACGGGCAGCTGCACCGCTTATTTGCAAGGATCCTGGCTCAGCGTAGAGTCAGCCCTTGCCTGTCCATATGACCAACTCGTGTCACCGCCCAAAAACCTTGATGGTAATCCGTGAAGTCCGGAGGTTGTTGCGGGAGAGGCTAAACGTGGCTAAACCGCTAGCCAGTTTGAGGTCCCATCATGACAAAGTAGCAGTCCGGACAATGTTTCTACTTCAGTTTTTTGGTGAAGATGGGAATATGTCATTTCCACAATGGGGGAGACATGAATATGACTGGCGTGGTTGAACCCCGGAAGGTCTATCTATGTTGCATGTTCTCCACTGCCGCCTGGTCTCGTTAGCAGTGCTGTTAGAGACATTCTCCGCAGACAAGCAACAGGCAACTTCCAAAGTCCAATCTGCATAGGCTTCTCTCCGTGGGGAATTCTGAGCTGACACTCTTGACTCTTGCCACAAAAGCAGCATTTCAGGTCCCACATCGGAAGATACAACCCTGAGTCATCGGTTCTTGCAACGGTATTATGTGGATATACGTTTTGTTTTAGAGCAATTCCAGTCGCACTTTTCTTCTTTGCGTCTCTTCAGCTCTGCCTATTATTGGGTGTGTCGTCATCATGCCGGACGACACATTCCTACAGAAGTTTCACAACCTTGCGAGCGTTGGCCCCTAAGTGAGTATATAGATTCTTCAGCACTCAAACCTTAGGTGTTTGACTATTTTTGTAGATGAGCAGACTGTTGGCAGCAGAGAGACCGTTACAGTTTGTCCCAGTCTGTTGCTGCTAGTGAAAGATTTCATACGCAGAATTCATTTCACAAATTGGTAAGGCCGATGATGAAGTCCGCTGCCGTGCCGCGCAAAGAGCCCAGCAAACAAGTTGCTTCGCCATAAATTCCAGTAGAACATCGGCCTCAGTTGTGGGGGTTGCACACTACACATTTATTCATTATATATTCACCCCGCTTCGCGTGGGGTTGCCGCCCACACCGCAGGTTTATTTCGGTCCGTGAGAGGGGCTAAGGGTGGTTTTCCCCCGTGGGGGCTCTTCAAGCTAAGAAGTTTCAATAAGAAATCCTTCCAAAACATTGTTTTTGACAGTGTTTTTCCAATGTTTCCAGTCAAACAGACGGTAATTTACACGTTTTTTTGCCATAAAGGCAGTAAATCCTTCCAAAACATTGCTTTTGACAGTGTTTTTGTAATGTTTCCAGTCAAGCATACGGTAATTTACACGTTTTTTGCTATAACGTCAGTCCAAAACACTTGTTTTTGCAGTGTTTTCAATGCTCTGGCATCCAAAAACCCTGCAAAATCTTGCTATGTACAATGTTTTTTTCATTTTTGGCCGTTTTTCCATTGCCGGAAAGCTACCAAAATGACCCAAAATTCCATTTCAATACCCTCTTGCGCTCAGACACCCAAAAATCCTCGAAAAATGTCGAAAACACCACCGTATTCTGGTCTCGGTGCGAAACCGTTTTTGGGGTCTGGTCTCGGTGCGAAACCGTTTTTGCCCCCCCCCCCCAGCTAAAGCTGATATAGCGACTGCTATATTAACAAATGTCATTGAGCATTTAGTGTTGCTGTTGCCCCCCAATAAGCACGCCTTCACCGCCAAAGCGGTGTGGGCGGATTTTATTCGCATGATGAATTGCAAGGGGTCCAACCCTTGAGACCATCCGCACAGCTTCCCTGAAGTTGATAAGTTGATACCCAGGCAGGGAATCGTCCGCGCACTCCTAAGTGGTAAGCTGGGCGAGGACGAACTTCCGTGGGTGTCCTCAGGATGCGCACAGTGCTGGTAGACTTTGGTGAGGGACCCTCGACATCCTCAGAAGTGACTGAGGTACACAGTGCGACGCTTGGTCCGCGGTGTCAGGAGCTTGGACTTAGAAACTGGGCATCCAAGGAAACTGCGGCAGAATAGTTGTTCGGTCAGACCTGGAGGTTTGACGGACGTAGCTTATTTGGTCTCCTCCGGGAGTGAATAGGCAAAATTATCGGCTTACTTCAAGAGTTAGCTGTCCGTGAAAAACATGACCCTTTGAAGGTGGACTTTTTGGTTGGTGTTCCTTTGGGGACATGGCCTATATTTTGCCAAAGAAATTCTGCCGTTGGTTTCCCTGCTTCTCAGCCAACAACATGAAAAATAAATTGCAGATCGGTCAGCTTGAGGCTTGTGGATTCAGGTGGTTGATACATCTTTTTCGCTTCATGCTGGATCTTCCATTTGGACTCTGGACATGTCCACCGATAGTCTCCTGTCTTGAAGCGGGTCTCGCATTCAAAGCACGTCGCTTTTTGGCTTCCAGCCAGAGACATAGGAATCACAACACGGTCTCATTCTTTTTCAGAAGCCATCCTTTTCCAAATGCCTAGTTGACAAGCCAGCAGCTTCCAAAAATGGAGCGAAATTGACAGCCTACAAACCTGACAACATGCAGACACTGCAAGTGAAGTTTTGTTCAGTTTGAAAGCTGACATGGACCTTGGTAGCTTGGTGGCAGAGGTGCAGCTTCTTTGGTGGAATCTCTGATCCTTTGTATAGACATTCAGTAGAATCAGCAGATTTCATCAGCCTTCTTCACCTGCACTGTCTGAAATCCACTTGGTATCACCATCTTGTGGGTATTACCAGAAGTATCACCATACGAATGACTCTTAGGACCATTAGTGCTAACCATTAGGTATGACTCTATGACCATTTTTGCCATGCCCAGGCAGCTGTCCATGATGAGCGACGAACCCAACGACACCGCCGTGGCGACGAGCCCTGACCCCACAGAAGAGGTGGACGCGGCGGGTGCGGCGGATGCGGAGTGTGCGGCGCCCGTGGAGGCAGTGCCCGTGGAGGCAGCACTGAACCCTGCAGATGAGGTCGACCAGCTGAAGGTGCCGCGCATTTCGAGTTTCGACTGCGTTTCCACTTGGAGAGGAAAATGCGATGGAACATCCGCAGCAATGTTTGTTAAATTTTCTTGGTGAGAAATGAGGGGCAGTTTTTTGGTTGCTCGTAAGATCTTATTCGTTTTGTGAACATTGGTGATGTGACCACTGGGCAGGCTGAGCTGGCAAGACGAGTGAATCAACCAGCTTCGAAGTTGAGCTTCTTAGAGCCTCTTCCGCCAGAATTGCTTCGCAATATTTGTGCCTCGGAAATACTTGAGCATCTTGAGTCTTCCTTCTAGGGCGTATGGCCGACCGCAAAAGCTGGGTTGAATCAAGGTGGTTCTTTTATTTGTTGCTTCTGTTGCTCTTGACCCGGAACCACTTCAGCTTCCCACATAAAATAACAAGAGTTGCTGTTGCTGGTTTCGCTCGTCTCATTTCTTCCAGGCATTGCAATCTTGATGCCTAGCACGGCACTGATGCATGGATACGGTGGCCCTGAGGTGAAACCTTCGATGAAGCTGGAACAAAGGACACCGGGCTCAGATGGGTCCAAAAGTCCAACTAGTACACGTACGTGCCATGGTCACCAGCTGGATTCGATCCATATTTTCAAGCAATCATCAGTCCACGGGGATTAGCATACAAAAAAGTAAGGACACAATTTTCACTCTTTTCATGATGGTGGGTATAATATGGTATAATCCCATGCACCCTCCGGAAACCAAAGGATGGTAAGATGCTGCAACGACTGGAAGCCTACACCAGGCCATCGGGAAGCGGCATGGGGTTTGTCTGTTTTTTTGGAACCAAAAGCATCCCAACATGATCGCAGGCCGCAATATAGCGTAGGATAGTACAGGCAAACACATAACATGGATAACACGCGCACACCGAACACATTTATAATATAAATGCACTTAGGTATAGATAGAGGATCCATGATACCCCATGTAATTAGATAGAAACCATTTTCCCCCAACAGCGTAAGCTAATTGGGTCTTCAGCCCAGAATAACTCCGGTGTGTACTGGTGCAGGCGGCGGGTCAGGTTCAACGAGGTTCCGGAGAAGGTTCCGGAGAAGGTTTCGGGAGGCTTTGGTGCAGGCGCCAGGTCAAGTTCAACAAGGTTCCGGAGAAGGGAGACTCTGGTGCAGGCGCCAGGTCAGGTTCAACAGCTCCGGGAGGCTTTGGTGGGTCAGGTTCGGTTCCGGAGAAGGTTCTGGAGAAGGTTCTGGAGAAGGTTCCGGAGAAGGTTTCGGAGAAGGTTCCGGAACGCCTTGGTGCAGAAATGGGCCAGGATCAACGAGGGTTCAAGTAGGTTCCGGTGCGATTCCAGGAGTGTGTCGGCGCAGTTTTTAGGTCAATTTCCAGCCAGTTTCGGATGAACAATTCTGTCAAAACAAATTTCTGCTGCTGTTGGGGATACCACCGAAGCTTATTTCATCTGCCCTATTATATATACAGTTGCCATATTGGGGGGTAAGCATTTCTTGGAGAAAGCCACCTAGAAAACAGGGAGGGCCAGGACGGCCAACGCCTCCAGGAAGCTGTTCTCTGGACAGGTCAATTGCTCGAAGAAATCATTTGACGCTGGAACCTCCAAGCCATCCCTCGCAGGCTGGGCTGTGGATGGGTCAAGATTCCCTTCCAAAAGCACAATTGTTTACTTTAAAGATTTTTAAAGTTTTGGGACCCCTATCATACCTATGCTGAATGATACACTCCCTTCATTTTGCGAGCTAATTAAGAGACGGACATGATGCTTCCCCATCAGACATCACAGGTCTTTCAGTCACAGCAGTCATATGGCCATCCTGTTTGCAGGACTATGGCAGATACGGATCGGCTGAGGCAATAGAAAAGTCGCTTGGTAGTCATTCAAGTTTGCTTTCATGAATAGTTTCATATCTGGATGCCGCATGATTTCTCGTGATATCTCCCTGCCGAGGAGAGTTGAAGCCTTTGTTCACGACTTGGACATGGACGAGAATACTCTGGACCTCATCCTAAGCCTGGAGCACAAGTTGCAAATCGAGGTCATCGAGCAGTTCGAAGTAGAGGGCCACCTGGAACCATTCAGACCCAATGGGAACCAGGGCTCAAAGCGTCCAAATCTATGGGACACTGCGGGGATGTCCAGAAATCCCAGCTGAAAACCAGGCACCAGGATGCACCAGGATCCATGGCCCAATGGCCCCGATGTTTTCCACCGCACAAGGCACCCGAGACGGCAATGTGCAGAATCGATTCTTCAGCTTTGTCCGCGGTGCCTTTGGTTTGGCTTTGAGAAGATCGGGAAAGATCCTTCATGTCCAGTTATTGTAGGTCGAAGTACTGTAGATTCTCATTCATTTCATTCACTTCATTTTTATTCATTCAATTCTTTTCAAGTCACCTAATGATGTGGTAAACCCAAAAATAGACCATCCTGTTTAGCAACCGTTGGGGGGTATTTTTTGATCTGAGACTTCAGGGATTCCAAGGTCCCAAATTTTTCCGTTACAGTGCCTCCGAGGTGTTTGGCTGCGAGCTCTTGGAGTGAGCCGTGAAGTGGGCGACCTTATAAAAGACTGTCCCGAGGAGCTGCAAGTTTCCTGGCTCAGCCAATTTACAGATAGGCTTTAACTGGAAATGGTTTGTAACTATATATAGTTGGAACCTAGTTGTAACGGTAACCCATAGTTTCGTACTTTGGAGGGATGAACATCCAGAAATGTCAGCTATTTTGGTGTGAACTACAGGGCTTGACATGGTTTTGGCCCGTGCCCATTTGTCTGGAAAATCACCACCCCTTTACGGATGATTAAAGCTTCAGCCTGCCACGAGGCAGATATCATCAAAAACTTCGACCCCAAGGGAACCAAGGACGCGGGACCTGGGCAGTGTAAGCGTGGCGTAGCGTAGCTGTGCATTGCGGTGCGCAAGAAGTGAATGACTTGCAATTTTCTTGATCTAGATTGTATACTATAGGTGCGCGCACATGTATCTATCTATCTATCTATCTTTATTTATCTATCTTTAGCTATCTTTATTTATCTTTATTTATCTTTATTTTTCTTTATTTATCTTTATTTGCATCTCTTTATTTTTCTTTATTTATATTGATGTATTTATCTATCTCTATCTATCTCTATCTATCTATCTACCTATCTACCTATCTACCTATCTACCTATCTACCTATCTACCTATCTATCTACCTATCTATCTATCTTTCTTTCTTTCTTTCTTTCTTTCCTTCTTTCCTTCTTTCTTTCTTTCTTTCTTTCTTTCTCTCCTTTCTTTCTTTCTTTCTTTCTTTCTTTCCTTCTTTCTTTCTTTCTTTCTCATCTATCTGTCCTATCTATCTATCTATCTTTCTTATCTAACCCATATTAATCTAACCAATCTTAATCAATCTAATCAATCTGATCAGTCTAATCAATCTATATAGTCAATCTGACCAATCTAATCAATCGAATCAATCAAATCAATCAAACCAATCAAACCACTCAAATCGATCAAATCAATCAAACCAACCGAATCAATCTAGTCAGTCTAATCAATCTAGTCAATCAAATCAATCAAATCAATAAAATCAATCAAATCAATCAAATCACTCAAATCAATCAAATCACTCAAATCATTCAAATCAATCTAATCAATCTAATCAATCTAATCAATGAAATCAATCAAATCAATTTAATCAATCTAGTCAACCAAATCAACCAAATCAATCAATTCAATTAAATCAATCAAATCAATCAAATCAATCAAACCAACAAAATCAACCAAACCATTCAAATCAAACAAATCATTCAAATCAATCAAATCAATCAAACCAATCAAATCAATCAAATCAATCAAACCAATAAAATCAATCAAATCATTCAAATCAAACAAATCATTCAAATCAATCAAACCAATCAACCCACTCAAATCGATCAAATCAATCAAATCAATCAAATCAATCAAATCAATCAATCCATCAATCAATCAATCAATCAAGCAACCTATCGACCTATCGACCTATCTATCTATCTATCTATCTATCTATTTGTCTGTCTGTCTGTCTGTCTATCTATCTCTCTATCTCTCTATCTCTCTGTCTATCTATCGATCTACCGATCTATTGCTCTATCGATCTATCGATCTAGCGATCCATCGATCTATCGATCTATCGAACTATGGATCTATCGATCTATCGATATATAAATATATATGTAATACTGTAGGTATTTAATATGCATAACATAGACATATTTGCATTTTCGTAGTCGGACTTGTCGTGACATAAGATCACCGCAGGGTTTTAACAGTCACGGTGGCAGAGGATGGCAATTTGTCGGCCCGACTTCAAAGCTTCGCCACCCTGCTCTGGCGCAATTCAAAGACCGGCCGGGCCTACAAGGCACCTGGGCGCTCATTGCCGTGAAAATCCACTTGCCTCATCAATGGATGAAACAGTTATACACACTTCTCAGTAAACATCAATGGAGGAAACACCAAATCCATTTTTTGGCAGAAAACAATGGAGAAAACATTCTTTTGCGTATATCGACATGTTTAGACTGACTAGACATGTCACAAAACAGGGACAATCAAAGCCTCACCAACACTGCCCAAGAATGTTTGGAACGTTCGTTTTGGAATGTTTGGTATAGAGGTCCGCAGATCCTGCACTCGAGACTGAACAGCTTCAACACAGCAAGCTGGTCATGCACACATCTCCGCAATCCAATCTTCAACGCTGTTCTGCGCCTGCACAACGCCCCCAAAAAATAGGAGGCACATGCGCCATGCTTGTGTTCGCATGTCTTCCCTGCAGAAGCAAGCGGACTGGAACCTGGATGTCTTCGTGAAACACTGGGGGTTGGAGCCATGGGCTCTGAAGGCACGGATGACGGGCGGGGTGGGTAGAGCGTTGACGATGATGCGATGATGTTTTACGGCACCATTGATACCCACAGATACCAGGTACCACCACACAGTACTTTCACTACCACCCCCCAACCAACACAGGCCCTGAGAATGACCACGACCAATGACGTGTAGTCTTCCAACCACCAACCATCCAACGAAATCATGACATGGTCTATGTTGGTTGGGGGGACGGTAGGCATCATCAGCCATCAGATCTGATGTCCATCAGATATCCAACCTGCGTGTGCGCCAGGTGCTACGGGCACTGCCTCCCGAGGTGCAAGAGGAGGCTGGATGTCTGTGGACAAAACGCCCGCCTTCAAGTTGTATTAAACTATTAAACTTTTCCAACATGTATGAAGGTCTTCAGGCCTTGCATCCCTCGTATGCGTTCTGGTAGGTGCTAAATGGCTTCGACGTGAGCAGCACGCGGGACGGTTATATCGCGGGCCGTTTCTTGGGCTACGTGCGGAGCAAGTGGGCGAGGCACCTGGAACTCGACGAACAATGTTGCTATGCGATCAAGCGCCTGCCTCAAGAGGGCCAAGTGATGTGCATCACTCAATTTGATCCAAGATCAACCAGAGATGGAACTTCGGTTGCAGTTTGGCTCTGGGGGGGAGCTGTCATGGGCTGCATGAGTTCCATTTTGAGTTGAAAAGTCTGCTCAGCATGTCTACACTGAGTCTACACGCCTGGTCTCATGAAGCTCTCCTGGACTGTCCTGAAGGGCTGTTTGTCTAAGGAAACGTGTCGGCCCGTATGAGGGGTTTCCTCTGGAAGGTTGCTGCTCGGCATATTTTTAGGCTTTAAATGCTGGAACGAGGTGGTGAGCCTTGGTCTACGAGTGGTGTTTGTGACCATAGCGCATGAAGAACCCAAAGGCTGAGCTTTGGCACGCCATCCTAGCCATTTAGAGCCCAACTATGAACGAAGGCATAATGGTCTGATTTATATACTTTCTTTTTCCTTAATTACAATCCATGGAAAACACCTGCACTACTTGAGAGGAGTTGAACTCTCAATACCTTTATTTGAATCCACGCTTGTATATTGGCAAATAGACAGTAGTTATATATATATAATAACTATATGCATAGGTATGTATCTACATACATATAAAATCATATAGATATGATTGTAAATAGACATGTTTCTATAGATTTGAATATAAATGCAAATGTAAATGTAAGTATAAATATGAACAAACAAAAAAAGTAAATAGATGTACACAAAGGTTTTTGAGTTTACATATTGTTGTCGTTTTTTACATGCACACATTTGCATACAAACCCTGGCCCTACTATAAATAGACCCTAAACCAACCCTAAATAAACCTTGAACCAACCATACAATCCTAAATAGCCCCTAAAGCAACCCTAAATCTCCAAAATGATGCAAATACCTTCCACATTCACGATTGTTGCTCCAAAATGCTGCAAATAGTATGCAAATGAGATTTAGCTCCAAAATGCAGCAGCTAGCAAGCAAATAAGTCATTTTAGCTCGAAAATGCGGCAAATAGCACGGAAAACTGCTTCAGACTAAAAGCAAAAAAAAAACAAAGACAACTTGCGCTCATACTTTTTGCACTGGCCTGGTCATAGCAGTAGGATATTAACACACAAGAAATGGCTTGAAGCAGCAGAGTGACCTTTCCACAGCCCAGGATGCGCAACTGAACGACGTGCTCGGCTGAGTTTTTATTGGGAACTTACATTTTTGTAGACACCTGTGGGGTTCTCGGATCTGTTGTGTTTCTTTGCACGAGAAAGAGGCAGGTGATCCACGCATGTGGTAGTGAAGTGCGGTTGTGTCGCACATCTTCCCAGGCAGCTTACCCAGAAGAGTACAGTGGATGGAGAGGTCGTGGCTTTCAGGCCTGCAGCTTGGAATGATCATGGTGAGACTGGCAGCCTCGGCTTTCAAAACATGGGTTTTAAGAATTTTCAGGCAGGTCGAATGTCCAATCCAAACTGTGCTTACTTGAAATGTTTTCAGGGCCGCTCCAATCGGCCCTTTGAGAATTAGAACGCTGTGGCTTGTCTAACAAGCCTTGTCATTGCGTCCCCTCTATCACCAGGACCATGGCTCGCGACAGTCATATGACAGCTGGGGCCCTGCTCGGCATGAGAAATCCTACAGCTACGAGAGCTTTGGTGGCTACCAAAAGTCCGATTCTCGAGATTCAGGAATGAGGGACGCTATCCTCAAGTCGCTTGGCCCCAAGGGATACATAATGGAGATTGAGTTTGAAGCCGAAGAATATTCGGAATGCATGATATGTGCTGCAGTTATGTCAACGAAGCCGAAGAAGATTTGGAATGCGTGATATGTGCTGCAGTTATATCAAATGAACCAACCAATTTGTTTTTTCCACGGTTTCCCCATCAGATTAGATGTTCTTGATTTGTTTCTCCTCTCTCCGTTGGAAAAGTCCTGCGTCAGGTTTGTGGCTCGCTGGGACTTGGACCTTGCTGTAGGTGCGTACTTGGAGAAGTTGCTCCTTGGCATCACCACAATCTTTTTTGTGCTTGGAGTCACTAGTGTCACTAGAGGAAGCATGGATGATTTACGATGACTTTAGTATGCTGCTCTACTATGATATATTGTTGTTCTTATTATCACTATCATTGTGATGATTATTGTCAGTATCATCATCATTATTATCATCACTGTTATCATTCGTGATATTAGTATTACATGGTTATTATACGGTGATTATATAGCTACAAACACATAATACACTTATTTGTTCGTGTTGAAAGCCGTCGAACATCAGAATCTTACAGGTGGTGCAGATGCTCATTGGATATTGGTGCAGCTAAGGAAGGATCCGGATGTTGTGGCGCGGGTTCTGGAAGAGTTTGATCCCAGTGGAACACAGGACGGCGCAAAAAAGGTGGAGCTGGGTGGGTTTGTTCTAGCGTGAGCAAGCGATAGCGCAGGCACGGCATCCTTTGCCACGCCCAGTGCGTTTGCCTCACTGCCCCAGGATGGCAATGTGCTGTTCCGTTTGAAATCCTTCGTGCGACTGCTGTGTTCGCGGCGCAAGCGTGGCGAGCTGCACTTGGATGAAGAGTACCAGGAGTACCAGGAACCTCAAGCGCCGAGTCGATTGAGGCACGGTGAGCTTCTTTTTCCAAGCTGAATGGGTCGCAGCTAGATGGCAGGAATTCTTGAGGATGTTTGATTAGTCTGGACATTAACTACCCAACTCAGAGGACCCTGCGTTGTCATCACAGTGGGAAGCTGCGTGATTCTTCGTTGCTGTAGGAAAGAGAAGTGGCAGAAGAAACCTCACACCTGAGCAACAACGCCTGATGTGATGAGGTGCGGGGTTTGGACGAGCAGGGAACCCCAACGGTCCAAACTGTGGAAGATTCGCAAGACTAGTTCGGTTTCGAATACAAGACCGAGCACCAAATTCTGGATGATTTGTGATTCCCCAATTCTGGAAGGCACATAGGTCCTAGGTCAAGGAGGAAAGTCGTAAAGTTGCGCTGAGTCTGACAGCACTCAACCTTCCTGAGAGAGGTTTTTGCCATGAGCCAGTGAGAGCCAGAAGGGTAGTCAAAGTACAAAGCTCTGACGGCAAATCAGATTCCACCCATTCCTAAAGGTCAATTGCACTATCTAACATCACTATTTACTATGGTGTGACTGCAAAGAAAGTGATTCAGAAGCAAGAAACACAATATAAAATATATAAAACTGAATGCAACTGTTATAATCAATGTACTGTACATCATATAACTCATATTCGCGGAATACACACAGGTATGCATTTTCTAAGCAATGGTCCACAGAATTGGTTGAAGGAAGAAGTTGCGGGAAAATCTCACACGCAAGAAAAAAACAAGTTTTCCTGCAGATTTTCCATCAAATCCATCTATTGAATGGTTGCCGCCTGTGCTTGGTGCGCTTGGTGACTTGATACAACAGACTGGAGTTGGCGAGTGGCGAGAAAAAACACTTGGCAGCAATGTTTCTTTGCACCAGCAAGGTGGATGAAGAGCTCCATTAGCGCGTACCCATCAATGTGGATTCTATAATTCAATACTGTAAATGATAAAAAAATAACCAACATAGATACACATAGGGTTTGGCGGGGTGGCATCGCCGAAGGTCCATGTGGAGGGCGCAGTCAAAAAGATACACATCATCAGAATCACATGTATGCACACACACACACATATATATATATGCATATATAAATATATGTATATATATATGCACACAACTGACCTGATTATTATATGTATATAAGTAGTCTTGGTTTCATTGTGTGTTGTCTGACAACGCCTCCGTCTGTAATGCTCCAATGCATTCTTCAAATTATCAAATTACTGTTCTGCTGAAAATCTGTTGCCTTGGCGATGAGAAATGGCAAGTATTGCCAGTGTTTTAGGTTCCACCAATGTCCGTGGAAAGAAATATGTTGATGGTTGCTGAAGAGAGTCCAAACTGTTTGAATACAGATGTCAGAGCCTTGGGATTTATCATGAATTTGTGTGCAGAGCTTTCACAATGGGCCCACATGCCAAAAGTATCCGCATTTGGCAATCAGTCAACAGATTCAATTTCTGCTTTTGAAGACTTGAGTTTTCATGTGAGACAGTTTCATGCTAAGAGCATGCTTGGACGTGCTGTTCTACAAGAACTGGAACTGTTTGTTGCAATCGTTTTCGAACAAGGAAACCCATGAATCCTCATTTCCCACAGCTAAGCAATGTGACGGGGAGAGACTTTCCTCTATCTTGCTTTCAGTGGGATTGGTTCAAATGATCATTGGCAGCAATCTGACAAAGTGACTAAAGAACGTGTTTGGACTTGAGGTTCAGCTTATGACAGGATAAACACTGGTTGCAAGGGTCCATGTGGGTAGCTGTCCCGTGTAAAGCTGAGGTGCAGTCGTCAAGGCGTTTCTGCCGTCCGTCTGGACATGTTTCGCAGGATGCAGCCAAGGATACTTCCGTTTTTTGAGCTGAATCTGCTTCCATTTTCTCAGCTGAATCTGATTGCATTTGGCAGAAATCCTGTAAGGGTGTTCAAACCTGCGAGGGTTGCATTCTTACAGTGTTATTCTTGAATCTATTCAGTTTCTGAATCAGGATTTCGATAGTGAGCTTGCAGCAATCTTGATCATCATCATCATCATCATCATCATCATCATCATCATCATCATCATCGATCATCATATATATATATAATATTCCGGCTTTTTCTTACTTTTGCCCAACTGTGTAAGGAGCCAGGACCAGGGAAGTTCATGGCTCACACTGATGCCAGGTCAAGGCTTTTCCTTGGCACTGGCCGAGTTGCTTCAAGTGATGCCCAACCAGTTGCCTACGGTCGGAAACCAATTTTTCTAGGGCTTCTAGGGTCGGAGGGATAGAGGATGCAGGTTGCTTGAAAGCATCCAACTTGGGTTTCCTTGTTGCTATGGCACCCTGTGAATCCAAACTGCAGGTTCAAAGTCTTGGGACTTCTGACTTTGTATAATGAATTGTTTCTTTCCAGATGCTAACTTTGGGTGATTTTCCGTGCATGTTCGGTGGGTAGAGTGCGCTGAATATCTCCATGTCTAGCAGGTCTTGCAGTTGTTGGACAAGACCTCCGAACTTCAGTCAGGTCTTCGCGCCCGGCCTCTCAGAGAGAGGAGTTCAATGGTCATGTGCCACGGATACATGGATTAAAATCCTCCATAACTCAAAGCAAACGCCCCAGCAGAAAAGTTGGTTTATTGGTATTTACTAATTATTGGATCTGTTTGTCTTGGTTCGCATTATCTGGGTGTGGTGGTGTTTATTGCAAGGATGTTGGGATTGCACATATTTCTACGGCTCAAATTTACAGTCTGGACCAAGGGTGAAAACCCACAGGCGATCCATACCCCCGATCCATCCAGACCGATCCATAGGTATGGATCACCGCAGACTCGCAGACCGATCCATACCGCTTTTTGAGCCACAGACATTTAGTTTGCTTTCCATGAGCCTGTTGAGAATTTTTCCTCTCACCTGAGGCGAATGAGCAGAAGGACCGTCTCTTAGGGCGGACTTTTGTTTACGGTGCCATCCTCCAGGTGGGCAGGATTGGCTCCAGAGATGATGGGACTAGCAGCTCCTTGTGATTCTGTGCAGTTGGCAGTACAGCAGACACGTTGCTTCATCCATTCCATGTCAGTCATTCGGCTGTGTGCTCCGAAATGTCATGGTGGTATCGTTTTCTAAGCAGGCCCTGTAGCTACTGGCATCTACCGGCACATCCGCAGACGGCTCGAAGTACCTGGCGAACTCGCCGGAAGGGCCCAACCGCATTCTCAGCTGGTGGGGTCCCGACGTGCGGCCAATGGCAAGGAAGCAGACCTTTCCATTGCTCATACAGGACCCTACTTGGTGAACATGAATGAACATGACCCATGTGGCCCATGTGTGGTCCATATGGCCGAGAGGGACGATACCTGTTGGTTTTGCGGAGTCACGTCGGTTTTGTGCAGGACACGTCTGATTCAGACAACCAGTGCCTTGGATGCAGCACCATCCGCTGAGCGCCCGAAAGGCTTGAAACTTGGTGTAGTCAGTTGCAAGTGGACCAGTGGCTTCGAAGTCCGATGGCCGAGGCTAGCTCTTTTTGGCTTCCTGCAGAACATCCTGAAGGACCATGACATGGTGGAGGGAATACTTCCGTTTTGACAGGGACCAGGCTGCATATAGATTCATTGATTTTTGTTACATGGACCATGCAGTGGGAACTGGAATGCAGGAAGAGATACTATCCGCTTTTGTAGGTCTGTCTGTTTTGGAACAGCCATCTTATATCCTCAGCGCAGCCCCAATTTTGACAGCGCTTTGGATGGCAGGACTTGTCGCAGGTTTCGACAGTGAATGGCCTCTGGGGTGTAAGCCCGCGGCATGTAGATCTCAGCTTCCCCAGTGCCTTCAACAAGGCCATTGCTTCTTGGTCTGCATCTTGAGGAGAACCCGGAGGTCCCCACTATGATGCCGTCCATATGAGTAGATCATATACATCCACGGAGGCGGGTGAATCTAACATGTGCGAACACACACACAATTAATATCTGTAGGCTTAAAAAATACATGCATGCATACATGCATACATGCATACAGTCTGCATACATGCACACATGCATACATGCATGCATACATACATACAGACACACATACAGACATACATACACACAGTACATTCATTCATACATAAATACATACATACCATAAAATAACACAACATTACATTACATTGCATTACATTACATTACATTACATAGATACATAGATACACAGATACATAGATACATAGATACATAGGTACATAGATACATAGAGACCCAGATACATAGATGTATAGATACATAGATGTATAGATGTATAGATACATACATACATACATAGATAGATAGATAGATAGATACATAGATAGATAGACAGATAGACAGACAGACAGACACATAGACAGACAGATAGACAGATAGACAGACAGACAGACAGATAGACAGATAGATAGATAATAGATAGATAGATAGATAGGTAGATAGATAGATAAATAGATAGAAAGATAGATACACACATCCACCCATCCATCCATCCATCCATCCATCCATCCTTCCTTGCATGCATGCATGCATGCATACATACATAGACACATACATTACATACATACATACATACATACATACATACATACATACATACATACATACATACATACAGGCTCAAGGCTGGGGGTTCCCCGGAGCTGCGAGGAACCCTCAGTCTTGATGCTATACCATAAAGGTCGTTCTTGTATAGAGATGGGGGGTGGGGGGGGTGGGTGGGGGTGGGGGGTAATAACGTCATGTGAAGTGCGTTGGATGATGTTGAATCCTGGAAGATGTTGCTTGGTTGGAAGATGTGTTACGTTGAAAGTTTCGTTGTTGTTTACAGAAGGGGGGGTGGGGGGGGCTGTAATAACGTCATGTGAAGTGCGTTGGATGATGTTGAATCCTGGAAGATGTTGCTTGGTTGGAAGATGGTGTTACGTTGAAAGTTTCGTTGTTGTTTACAGAAGGGGGGGTGGGGGGGTGGGGGGGCTGTAATAACGTCATGTGAAAAACATAAAACACTGTAAAACACAGTGTGAAAACAACATTTTCCATCACCATGCCAAAAAAAGTTTTGTGGACGCGAAGATGAAAAAGATGTGATGTTCATTTCGTCCATGGTTCTCCAGTGAATTATGACATTTTGTACTTATCAACAAAAACTCAAAACATGCATGAAACCGCAATTCCAATGGGAAAAATGTTGCACACATGTTTGGCCATCCATGGAAGATGTAAATTTATCATTTTTCTGCGCGGACAAACTCCGAGTTTATCCGCGCCGACATTGATACTTTCACTGATGGAACACTTTGAAGGAAAGGCAAAAAACATTGTAAAATACAGTGTAAAATCAACATTTTGCAGATCCATACAAATAAATTGCAATTGGCTTCCGGGGAACCCCCAGCCTTCGCCCTACATACATACATACATACATACATACAAACATACACACATACAGACATACATACATACATACGTACAGACAGACAGACAGACAGACAGACACAGACACAGACACCGACACAGACACCGACACAGACACATACAGACACACACACACATACACATACACATACATACATAACATAACATTGCATAACATTGCATAACATTGCATTACATTGCATTACATTGCATTACATTGCGTTACATTGCATTACATTGCATTACATTGCGTTACATTGCATTACATTGCATTACATTGCATTACATTGCATTACATTGCATTACATTGCATTACATTGCATTACATTGCATTACATTGCATTACATTGCATTACATTGCATTACATTGCATTACATTGCATTACATTGCATTACATGGCATTACATGGCATTACATTGCATTACATGGCATTACATTGCATTACATGGCATTACATGGCATTACATTGCATTACATTGCATTACATTGCATTACATTTGCATTACATTGCATTACATTGCATTACATTGCATTACATTGCATTACATTGCATTACATTGCGTTACATTGCGTTACATTGCATTACATTGCATTACATTGCGTTACATTGCATTACATTGCATTACATTGCATTACATTGCATTACATTGCATTACATTGCATTACATTGCATTACATTGCATTACATTGCATTACATTGCATTACATTGCATTACATTGCATTACATTGCATTACATTGCATTACATTGCATTACATTGCATTACATTGCACATTGCGCGCATGCATACATATATAAATACCATCCATCATCATCCATCCATCCGTACGTACGTACGTACGTACGTACGTACATACATACATACTTACATACATACATACACACACATACACACACACACATACATACATACATACATACATACATACACACATACACACATACACACATACACACATACACACATACACACATACACACATACACACATACACACATACACAAATACATACATACATACATACCATACCATACCATACCATAACATACATACATACATACATACATACCATACATACATACCATACATACATACCATACATACCATACATACCATACATACCATACATACCATACATACATACCATACATACGTACGTACGTATATACATACGTATATACATACGTATATACATACGTATATACATACGTATATACATACGTATATACATACGTATATACATACGTATATACATACGTATACATACGTATACATACGTATACATACGTATACATACGTATTCATACGTATACATACGTATACATACGTATACATCCATCTATCCATCCATCCATCCATCCATATCCATCCATCCATCCATCCATCCATCCATCCATCCATCCATCCACCCAGAGAGACAGACAGACAGACAGGCAGACAGGCAGACAGGCAGACAGCCAGACAGACATACATCCATACATACATGCATACATGAATATGCATGCATATCCGTTTTTGTTTGTATTCACGTCGCTTCGCGACGGCAACCGCCCGCACCGCATCGTTGGGCAGCCGCTCGTAACTGCCAATGATGTCGGCCATTGAGACCAAAAACATCCGAAAGTACGGATTGTCGGAAAAAAAAACGCGAAGAATTTGATAGCCATGTATAGCGGACCAACGCAGTTCAAAAAATAACGAAAAACATGAAAAAACGGCGAAATTGCTGTTATTTACAGTGTTTTTGCGCGGTGAGAAGCAGAAACCACTGCAAATACCATGGTTTTTGAGGGTCAGGTGGCCAAAAACACTGTAATTTACAGTGTTTTTTTAACCAACGTCAAAAAACACTGGTATTTACGATGTTTTCATTCACACCGTAACATAAAACAGCGTAATTTACGAGGTTTTTGGAAGTTTTGAAGCTAGCCGTCAAGCATGCAGAAAACAGAAAAACACTGTAAAAACCAGTGTTTCTGCTATCACAAAACGACGAAAATCAGTCCGAAAACGGGTCCAAAAACTCAAAAATCCGCCTCCGGGCCCGGCCACCTGCGGAACCGCAAAAAAAGATGTTGCAAACCAAAAAATTGAGGTCAAAAAGTTGAAAAACACGGGGTTTTTTCACTTTTCGCTTGCCGATTTTGGACGGGCGCGTTCACGAACAGGTGTCTTCCGTACTGTTTTTTACAGTGTTTTTTGAAGGCGAGCGTCACGACCTATCAAAAACAGGAGGTTTTGGCCGAAAAATGGGACCCCCCCCCCAGGTAAACCTGTAACCTTTTACGAGTGCCATCCGGAAGATCACGCCCCAGCACCTTCGGTGCGGGCGGATTTATATGTATCCTTATATTTTGACATCTTTGCACACACACACACACGCATGCACATATCTATTCATTTCCTACTTCTGGGGTTGTGTCCTTCTCATCCGGGACATTCTGCCAATGCTCAGGTGGGCAATCGCCCTGATTTCCGTGCGTTTGAACCTGTGACTCGGAGATGATGGCGCGATATGAAATCGCAGAAATCGGTCGGCCGGAGGCCGGAGGTTGGGGGATAGCTGACATTTTCTGAGGTCAAAAATTTTCATGAAGGAACTGGAATGGTTGCGAGATCAGATCAGGTGCCTTGGAAAAGCAAATCACTGCTTGGCATTTCTTTCCGATGTTAGACATCTACCTCCAGCCAATTTTTTTCGGCGGAGCAAATGCATCCAATTTGTACTTTCATCACTGCAGCTGCCATGTTCCAAGGAAATGAAAGATCCCGATCTTAGTAGGGGAGCATTAGAACCTTGTCAGCAGCTGGCGCAAAACCATCAGAACGAATAAGTTTGGAGATAATCTAGCTGTCCCGCTGAGGATGCAAGCAGGACTGAACTCATTTCCAACAGAAATCGAATCCTGTGGAATGCTCTGAACCTATATAAATGAATCTAGAACTGTCTAGCGGTTAGGCCAAGGTATGCCGTGCGTTTTAAAGGCATGTCACTTTCCCTGTGCAGCACCGATTCAAAACCAACCCCTCCTGGATGCGTTGTGCCCAATCGGAGACCTATCTCTTGGGGCCCGGGCTGCTATGATCACATTGAGTTTTTGTTGGATGTTTGGGGGTTTTGGCAAGTCTTATTATAAGATCTTCAATGTAATGTGATCTCTTAGTTTGGGTGATTTGGTTTTATGCTTAATCACTTGACCACGCCAAGGAGGATAGCAAACTCGTTCTTCGGAATGAGATTCGGAGAACGCCACTTGGCGCAGCTGAGCCATGCCGAACCAGACATGAGCCACAGCATAGGCATAGCTCAGAAAAAGTTAAATTGGATCCAGCTTCGCCGTGCACGGCTCAAACCTGGTGACATTTGGAAGAAGTAGTGGCCACTCAACCGGGCCACCAGTAAGTCATTGACTCATCGCCACTGTCGTGGCTGCAGGTACTCAGTGGTCATGCAGGCTGCGGGCCTTGATCCATCGCATCAATCCTCATGGGAGCTGATGCTTAGATGTTTCCCCTGCAACGCTGGGGGCCCAAGACCTGGGACCATCCTGGGACCATCCTGGGACCATTCTGGGACCATGGAGTCAATGTCATCTTTGTGCTCTGATTCCTGTGAGGCTATATAGTGTTTCTTTGAGTCACCCCTCCCAAAGCAAGGTGCTTCCGTTTCCAGAGGAGCATCTCTTGCCCCTTGGAGTGCTGAGACGTGTTGCTGTGGTGGCTTTCTGACTCACAGATTTTTCATGATTTTTCAATTTCTACATGATTCTATCCATTTGTTTTGATTTAACTTTTTATTCATGGGTGAATTTCCCGCAGCTACGCAAGGTCTCACCATTACTTCGCCCGCGAGTTTCTTTTTGATCGCGGTGACCTGGAAGGCCATCGGTTTGGTGATCCGCTGTGCCTTGGCAGTGGTAAAGCCAAAATCAATAAAGCTTAAATTTTGATGTCTTATAGCTACCCCTTTCTGGGGATTATTGGGGACGTTGATTATTGGGTTTACTTATGCCACTTTCTGAATGTTCGTGGGCTGAGTTATTCGGATTTTTCAGGGGTCAGAACCTCTGGTAGTGACTCTGGCCAGAATGGTGAAGGTTGCGATGCTCCGCTAAGGACAGCGGCCACTTACAACCGCATTGTCAATGAGATAGATGGCGAGGCGGAGCCTTATTTTGATGTGAGAAGCAGTGGTTAGATAGCAAGCACTTCATCTGAGGCTGCTGGTGGGATGGTAGGATTTAGTGCAGTAGTGCAGTAAAAAATCAGCACTTTGAATGCCTTGAACAAATCTGAAGTTGGTGGGACAGGATTTCAGATTCCAGAGCATCAACTGAAACCCCACGAAGGCAACCGACCCTGCCGCACCCTGCCTGTGACTCCAGGTTGCTGTAGATGCCAGTGGTGCCTACGACCGGAAAGCAGACGTCCGCTGGGCTAAAGATCTGGATGTTTCGAATACTTCCCCGGCCAACGTTTGACGTCTTGATGGTTAGCTCAGAATTATGCAAAAGCAAGTTCATCATGATGGTGTAATTCTTGAAGGCCCTCAGAGCAGTGCAATGTCAATGTTCAATCATCCGGAATATATGACGCACAAACACACAAACACACGCACACATAAACACATATGCATATATATATATTATAGGAAATCATATGTATACATACATACATACATACATACATGACATAACACAACATTACATTACATTACATTACATTACACGAATTTACATTTACATTTACATTTACATTACATTTACATTTACATTTACCTTTACATTACCTTACCATACATACTTACATACTTACATACTTACATACTTACATACTTACATACTTACATACTTACATACTCACATACATACATACGTACGTACGTACACACACAGATATATACATACTGTATATATATATATATACACATGTTTACACACGCACACACACACATATATATATATAAATATACCATCCGGTTATTGAACATTGTAACATAGCTATGGGAAAATAGTCCCCTTTCTAGATGATGTATGATGATTTACCTATTAAAAGTGGAGATTTTCCAGTTTGCTACATTAAACAACCAGAGGGTATATATTTATTTTCAGTTCCAAATGTTACTGAGGTTTCACAGGGCCTCGCTGAGAAGCGAAGGCAGAGAGCCCGCCGGTTCGTGCAAGATGCGTCCCTTGGTTCGTTCACCAGTGGTGGGATCTCTCTGGGAGGGAAAGGCTACAGGAAATCTTGGGTTTTGACAATGATATGTTTTCTTGTACATTGTCCCACCATTTGTGAGATTGTTTGCTGATGCCCTGCTGTTCCAAATTCCCAAATTCTAGACATTGGAATTGGGAGAACCGATCTTGCACAATTCCTTTGTCAACACATGTGCATGGCTGAACCAGTCGTCTCATGCATGGTGAGAACACAATGCAAAATAATTGTTCCATTCCTTTATTTTATTCATTTCATTTGTTTCATTTGTTTCTTTCATTCAATTTGTTTCATTAGTATTGCAGTAGTATCATTCGTTTCATTCGATTCGTTAGTTTCCTTCATTTAATTCGTTTCGTGAGTTTCCTTTGTTTCATTATTTTTTAAATTTCATTCATTTCATTCCTGCATTTCAGTCATTTTATTCGTTTCATTCATTTCATTCGTTTCAATATTTCATTCATTCCATTCATTTCATTTTTCCATTCATTCAATCATTTATTCGTTCAATCATTGATTGATTGATTTGATTTGATTGAACTTGTTTTTATCTGATTTGATTTAAATTGAATGATTGATCGATTGATTGATTGATTGATTCATTCATTCATTCTTCATTCATTCATTCATTCATTCATTGTCTTGTTGATTCATTTCTTGATTCATTCCTTCATTCATTGATTCATTCACTTCTTCGTGCATTGATTCTTGCAGGCCACTAGTTTCATTCGCTTTCATGTATTCATTGGCATTGGCATCTCAAAAACCCTTTCCTCATTCATTGACGAACCTCACAACCTCAGTCTTTCATTGCTTCTGCATTCCACAGATATCCTAAAGGCCATTGATTTCTTATATAGTCACTGCTCTTTTTCAAAACCTTTGCCCTGGCAAGGCTGCGCACTACTGGTAGATAGATAGACAGACAGATAAAGGGATAGATGGCTAGATAGATAGCTAGCTAGCTAGATAGATAGATAGATAGATAGATAGATAGATTAGATAATTAGATAGAAAGATAGATCGAAAGATAGATCGATCGATCGATAGATAGATAGAGACAGACAGACAGACAGACAGACAGACAGACAGATAGATAGATAGATACGATAATTAGATAGATAGATAGAACGATCGCTCGATCGATAGATAGATTAGATAGATAGACATATAGATAGATAGCTAGATAGCTAGATAGCTAGATAGCTAGATAGCAAGATAGCTAGATAGATAGATAGATAGGTAGAAAGATAGATCGATCGATAGGTAGATAGATAGAGACATAGATAGATAGATTAGATAATTAGATAGATAGAAAGATAGATCGATCGATCGATAGATAGATAGATAGATAGAGACATAGATAGATCGATTAGGTAATTAGATAGATAGAAAGATAGATTGATCGATAGATACTGTAGATAGATAGAAAGATAGACCGGTCGATAGATAGATAGATAGATAGATAGATGGATAGATAGAGACATAGATAGATAGATTAGATAATTAGATAGATATATAGAAAGATAGATCGATCGATAGATAGATAGATAGAGACATAGATAGATAGATTAGATAGTTAGATAGATATATAGAAAGATAGATCGATCGATCGATCGATCGATAGATAGATAGATAGATTAGATAATTAGATAGATAGATAGATAGATAGACAGATAGATCGATAGATAGATAGATAGAGAGAGATAGATATATATATATATATTAGATAAGATAGATAGATAGATAGATAGATGGATAGATAGATAGATAGGTAGATAGATAGATAGATAGATAGAATATAGATAGAAATATAGATCGATCGATAGATAGAAAGATTAGATAATTAGATATATAGAAAGATAGATCGATCGATAGATAGATAGATAGAGACAAAGATAGATAGATTAGATAATTAGATAGATAGATAGAAAGACAGATCGATCGATAGATAGATAGATAGAGACATAGATAAATAGATAGATTAGATAACTAGATAGAAAGAAAGATAGATCGATCGATCGATAGATAGATAGAGACATAGATAGATAGATTAGATAATTAGATAGCTAGATAGATAGAAAGATAGACCGGTCGATAGATAGATAGATAGATAGATAGATGGATAGATAGATAGAATGATAGATAGATAGATAGATAGATAGATTTGATAATTAGATAGATAGATAGATAGAACGATAGATCGATCGATCGATCGATAGATAGATAGATAGATTAGACAATTGGATGAATAGATAGAAAGATCGATCGATCGATAGATAGATAGATTAGATAATTAGATAGATAGATAGAACGATAGATAGATCGATAGATAGATAGATAGATAGATAGAGACATAGATAGATAGAGTAGATAATTAGATAGATAGAAAGATAGATCGATCCATAGATAGGTAGATAGAGACATAGATAGATAGATAGATAGATAGATAGATAGATAGATAGATAGATTAGATAAATAGATAGATAGAAAGATAGAGCGATCCATAGGTAGATAGATAGAGACATAGATAGATAGATTAGATAATTGGATAGATAGAAAGATAGATCGATCGATCGATAGATAGAGAGATCGATAGATCGATCGATAGATAGATGGATTAGATAATTAGATAGATAGATAGAAAGATAGATCGATCGATAGATAGATAGATAGAATAGATAATTAGATAGATAGAAAGATAGATCGATCGACCGATAGATAGATCAGATAATTTGGTAGATTGATAGAAAGATAGATCGATCGATAGATAGAAAGAGAGATAGATCGATCGATAGATAGATATATAGATTATATAGATAATTAGATAGATAGATAGAAAGATAGATCGACCGATAGATAGATAGATGGAGACATAGATAGATAGATTAGATGATTAGATAGAAAGATAGATCGATCGATGGATAGATAGATAGATGGATGGATAGATAGATAGATAGATAGATAAGATAATTAGATAGATAGAAAGATAGATCGATCGATAGATAGATAGAGACATAGATAGATAGGTTGATAATTAGATAGATAGATAGATAGATAGACAGAAGGAGACAAAGATAGATAGATTATATAGATATTTACATAGATAGATAGATAGAAAGATCGATCGATCGATCGATCGATAGATAGATAGATAGATTAGATAGATAGAAAGATAGATCGATCGATAGATAGATAGATTAGATAATTAGATAGATAGATAGATAGATAGATAGATAGATAGATAGATAGATAGATAGATAGATTAGACAATTAGATAGATAGAACGATAGACCGATCCATCGATGGATAGATAGATAGATTAGATAATTAGATAGATAGAAAGATAGATCGATCGATCTATGGATAGATAGAGACATAGATAGATAGATTAGATAACTTGATAGATAGATAGAAAGATAGATCGTTCGATAGATAGATAGATAGAGACATAGATAGATAGATTAGATAATTAGATAGATAGAAAGATAGATCGATCGATCGATAGATAGAGAGATCGATAGATCGATCGATAGATAGATAGATTAGATAATTAGATAGATAGATAGATAGATAGATAGATAGATCGATAGATAGATAGATCGATCGATAGATAGATAGATTAGATAATTAGACTAGATAGATAGATAGAAAGATAGATCGATCGATAGATAGATAGATAGAGACATAGATAGATAGATTAGATAATTAGATAGATAGATAGATCGATAGATAGATAGATATATTAGATCATTAGAAAGATAGAAAGATAGATCGGTCGATAGATAGATAGAGACATAGATAGATAGATTAGATAATTAGATAGATAGAAAGATAGATCGATCGATAGATAGATAGATAGATTAGATAGATAGAAAGATAGATCGATCGATAGATAGATAGATTAGATAATTAGATAGATAGATCGAAAGATAGATCGATCGATCGATCGATAGATAGATAGATAGATAGATTAGATAATTAGATAGATAGAAAGATAGATCGATCGATAGATAGATAGATAGATAGATTAGATAATTAGATAGATAGATCGATCGATAGATAGATAGATAGATTAGATAAGTAGATAGATAGATAGATAGAAAGATAGTTCAATCGATAGATAGATAGATAGATAGATAGATAGAGACAAAGATAGATAGATTAGATAATTAGATAGATAGATAGAAAGATAGATCGATCGATAGATAGATAGATAGATTAGATAATTAGATTAGATAATTAGATAGATAGATAGAAAGATAGATCGATCGATAGATAGACAGACAGATAGATAGATAGATAGAGACATAGATAGATAGAGTAGATTATTAGATAGATAGATGGAAAGATAGATCGATCGATAGACAGGTAGATAGAGACATCGATAGATAGATTAGATAATTAGATAGGTAGAAAGATAGATTGATCGATAGATAGATAGATAGAGACATAGATAGATAGATTAGATAATTAGATAGATAGAAAGATACATCGATCGATCGATCGATAGATAGATAGATAGATAGATGGATAGATAGATAGATAGATAGACATAGATAGATAGATAGAGACATAGATAGATAGATAGATAGATAGATAGATAGATAGATTACGATCGATAGATAGATAGATAGATAGATTAGATTAGATTAGATTAGATAATTAGATAGATAGAAAGATAGATCGATCGATAGATAGATAGAGACATAGATAGATAGATTAGATAATTAGATAGATAGATAGAAAAATAGATCGATCGATAGATAGATAGATAGGGACATAGATAGATATATACATACACTAAGTAGGAGGCACCCGGTGCTCTTGTGCAGCGCTTTGGCTCTACGCGGCGGCAACGACGCTCTGGACGGGATCTGTCAGCTTGTGTCTGAACCTTTAAAGATAACACCTTAAAGAAGCATCAGCGCATCCAAATTATGCACATATATACATGTACATGCACATGCTCGCCCGTACCCACACACATGTAGTCAGAGACATAGTCACAGAGAGAGAGAGACACACACACAATCACACACATACATATCATATCATATCACATCATATCATATCATATCACATCACATCATCATATCATATCATATCATATCATATCATATCACACACGCACACACACACATATATTTGTATTTATATATATGTATACACGATATCTATGCTTGGTTTCGGCATCCAGTTCAGCCATGGCCTCAGAGTTACGGCAATGGTTGCTGAGCTTGCCCAAAGTTGTCTCTTGGCTAAACCGAGACGTTTTACCATGACCTGGTGGGGCAGGAGATGCCAAATCCGACATGAAATTCGTGCTATGCAATGAAATCCCATGAGTCCCATGACTAGTGGAATCTTGCAAGTCGGCACTCTTTCCACATATTTCTACATTGTAGACATATTTCCAGCCTAAAATGCGTCCACCATAGCCTGTTGATGGTTCAAATTAGGAAGATGGTCATATGATCCCACCATACTTTTGATGGTAAAACGACAATTTCAGGTAGTGCCTGGTAATCTGGGCAACGGAAAGTCACCTATTGATTACCGTTTACAAATGGTTTTCCAATATGTTGTACTGAGTACCGTAACAAAAAACAAAAACGCACCACGTTCAGATTCTCCAGAGAGTCGATGGTTTTTTGCTGGGTTTCCCGCCGCGTCGCCAGGAGTTGCACGTCCATTTGGATGGGGCCTTTGACCCTGAGTTTCTCTTCCACTTGGCACGAGAGAAGCTGGAACAGCTACCCATGGAGGCAGGGGCCGCTAAAAACAACCATGAACGTGGGAATAAACATAGGAAACTCATAGGGATGACTCCTGACAAAGTGATACATCAATATATATATATATAAATACGCATCATATTTTTGATTTATTGATGGTGATGTCAGAGATGTACCCAAAAATTACATAGGAGTGGCTGCTGCTGGAGATGAACCATGATTGAGTATGATGTGTGGTTTCTAGATACTCAGTCTCTTTGTGTTTGATCCACCTCCAGATGTTGGGTAGTTGGTTAAATGGGGCTCTCAGGGAGCAACATGTCAGGTGGAAAGCGCCATGACTGGCAAGGCTATGCCCTTGAGGGCTGCTGTGAGGGCGTGCGACAGCCTGGCGGATTTCGAGAAGCTGATTACCTGCCGGGGGCAGAGGCAGCAGCGCCAAGCATCTGAAGCTGACAATCATAATCCCATCTCCATCATTGAACAACCACTTTTTGTGGAGAATCCAAAAATCAAGAGAGATCTGATACTCAACCAAGGCACCAAGGTTTCTGAAGAGTCTTCCCGATGGGAAGGGGTCGTTGATGTTCTTTGAGATTCCCATTTCTCGAAGACTTGGGTTGCTTGGATCTTGGTATTCAGTGACGAGAATTCGACTTTCAAATGCACCATTGACAACTCCACCCAGAAACTCACCCGCAAAACGTATGCAGAGAGTGTCTCTGTGTGTGTTTGGGTACAACAAAGCGACACTGGCAGGTCCTTACAAGCGATGTTGGACTGTTTCAGCATCTTCCTTCCCTGTGTGCGAGGGGATTTGCAGAGTGTGGAAGAGCTGAGCTACCGCTTTGTGGGTGCCCAAGCCCGGGAGAACATTGCATACACCGAAGTGCGCTATTCGCCTCACCTGTCATTTGGCAGGGGAAAGCTCGGGATGAATTGCCAATTGCCACCACGCTTTTTAAATAGCAATTGTGGGATAAGAATGGCCTATTTATAATTATACATATTCGTAAGATCATCACTGGTTGCCACATATATAATGATATATAATGATATAATGAGAGAGAGAGATATATATATACATATTTACATATGTACACACATACATACAGATATCACCAATCAAGGTAGTTTTGCGATGGTTCACTCACGGGTTTTCAGCCTGTCTGCATTTTGTTTGACAAGGTTGATGGACGGAGAATATTTCACGGAGACAGAAGCTGGCAACCCTGAGCCGGCCATAGCTGCAGTGACGCGGGGCCTGCGGCGAGGGTGCGCGGAGCATGGTATCATTGTGAATCTGGTCCTGGTTACCAGGAGTATAGGGTTTTATTTCCAGCAAATATGGGGGTGCCAATATCAAAGTACACCCCCAACCCCAATATTAAATACCACCAATAAGGGAACCCAAAATGAATAGACCCGATACTAAATAGTGTACACAGAGAGAGAGAGAGAGAGAGAGACAGAGAGAGACAGAGAGATGTGTATAATATATATATATGCCAACATTACTAAACCAGGGGTTCTTGGCGGGTATTTATATTGGGAGGAAGAGCTTACTACTGTGTAGGATTTCTCAGTTGTGTTTTTGGAGGTTTCTCTTGCAAGTCTTACAGTAGTTTAAGCATGTCAAATGAGTGTTGTTATCATACAATGTGTGGATTATATTTCGGCCCTACACGACATCCAAAGAACATGAGATGGAAGAAATGCTGCATCAATTCCAAGGAATCAGATCATTTGCTGCATCTCCTTCCAAGCTTCCTGGTCCATGTCCATCATGCAGCTGGCTGAGAAGTATCGCTCAGCTTATCCCTGTGCGGTGGTGGGTGTGGACGTTGCTGCCGGAGAGGTGGGAGATGATCCTGCAGGTCATGTCGAGGCCTTCCAAAAGGCCAAGGAGCTGGGGCTCAAAGTCACCTTGCACGCTGGCGAGGTGCCTGCAGTTTCCAAGATTTGGGGACTTTTCTTGGTGATGGTGCGCTTGGAATTTATCCCTGGCAGGCCACCCAAGTCTCCAACTAGGATCAAGTAGATAGATGATAGAAGTAGATAGGCTTCGATAGCAGCGATTAGTAGTGGCCAAGTTTGATTTTCAGCCACATTCGTTTCCTGCTTTAAGTTTGCCACACCACAGGTGGGTGGCCCTGAAAACGTGCGACATGCTGCTTTTGACTTTCATGCTGGCCGCGTGGGTCATGGCTATGCCGTGGCTGATGGCCAACAGGAAGAGCTTCTGGCTTCGTTGGTGCGGCAGGGGCTGCACTTTGAGGTGGGGCGATGCTTTTTGTTGTGGGATCCATGGGATGGTGAGGTTGGCAACGCAACAAACGGCAACGGCAGAGTTGGATCAAATTGGTACTCGAGATCTCACCGAAAGTTGTGGCAGGAAAGTAAGGCGGACACCCAGGGGAACCCACCTGTCAGGTATGCCCCACCTCTTCCGAAGAGACGGGTGCGTGGAGGCATGAGACCTCGGAAAAACCGCCGTGGTCAGAGCACCCAATGCGGCGCATGTTGGAAGCTGGAGCTTCGGTCTCCATCAACTCGGACGATCCCTCGGTGTTCCTTACCTCTTTGACAGATGAGCTGATGCTTTGCATCTCCGAGGTCGGTCTCTCAAGAGAAGCTGGGGCCGCAAAAAGCTGAAATATCTGCAGGTTTTCAACATTTTTTTTTCACTTTAGTTGTTTCGTTTAGTTTGGTGCGAGCTTTACCATGCGTAGGTGTGACCTGAGAGGATTCTCCGCATGTGGAGGACTCATCGATGCCATAACATCCCAAGAATAGCCCATGATTTACACAGCTGAGGAGCAGATCCTGCAGCTGACGCTGTCTGCACTGGATGCTGCCTTCTGTTCCAAGGAGGAAAAGGATTTGATCCAACAGAAGATCCAAAATTTTACTTCGACCTGAGAAGATTAAGAAGCGCCGGGCAGCCGGGCATTGATTTTCGCGCGACCAAAGGTGTCCGCAGATCTCTTGGCGTGCTTGGATTTGCAGCAGCTTGTTCTGGTGAGTCAAAAAGATACGGAAGTCACAAACATGAGACATTCAAATTCAAACATCTTTGGGATGTGGAGCCGATGGAAGGTTGTGATATGAGTTCAGGGTTACACCGCTACACCCAAACCAGACTCGTTGTCGAATTCCCAAGTTGAATTTTTAGCACCTTCTCCAAGCTTTCTACCCATGCAGCAGTTTTGGTTTAAAAGATCAGGCAGGTAGCTCTCTCAGCATACGCATCGTTGAACATGGCTTTGACTTTCCTTGTGCGAGTGCTGCTGTGCAGTGTGGTGTTCATGCCATCCTTCGCCCAGAACTTGAAGGGCAGCAGCAGCGGCATTGCAGAAATGGCCGAAGTGGTTTCCAAGGACGCCCACGCGGTGCAGAATCTTGAGGTGACTTGGCTGCAGAGAAAGCTCCAAAGATCCCCACGCTGATTGGAGGTTGTGACGGAAGATCCCCTCCGAAAATCAATCATAATTCATGATTCATGATTCATGATAACCAACCAAAAACATCCAAAAACGTATTCATGCAATGCATATACCATGCATAATTACAGATGTTGTTTTTGTGTTTGATTTGAAAGATTGCAATCCCATCGATGACCGCAGGTCACCGACTCCGCCAGCGACATTTCCCTGGACGACTTGCCCAAGAAGCATCCGCCCACCACGAACCAGGCCTTGGTCTCCATGGTCTTGATCTTCGTCATCCCGGCAATCGGCCTGGTTTCTTGGCGGTGATTGGACACTGAGTACTGAAATTTTAATAGACATAGACGTAGACACACACACACACACTTGCTTACACACACATATATATATATAGTTGATTAATGTCGAATATATATATATATATAAACATTTTTTCAAAAAATCTTAAAAAGATGAATTGTCACTATATTCAATATATTCAATTATTATGATCTGATAAATCCACCCTATTGTAGTGAGGCTAGAAACAGGACAAAGAACCCTCAGACCCAAACGAGTGCTTCTGATGTTGGAGCAGTCTTTCTATGTTTTTCTCCTTTTCCGTGGGAAGTGCATTGATTGTAGACCTGAGGTGATCATGTACAAGGGCAAGGAAGCGGGTTGGACAGGTGCTTTCGGCTTGATCTGCTGTTTGATCACCTGCGTATGGATTTACACCGCGGTGCTCGCATTCATGTAGGCCGCCGCGCGGATCTGACTCAGCATCACAGACTGGGTCAACCTGTTCCCGAAGCCCGGTGAGAGTATGAAAAAAGTGCGGCCCGCCTGCGGCACATTGTCGTGGCACTGTGGGTTGAGAATGGTGAGAATGGTTGAGATGAAAAAGGCGGGCCGAAAGGGGCACAGATGGGTCCTGTGTCTGCCATGCCAAGGCTGGATCGCTGGGATAAGATTTTAAGGGCCTCCCACATGGAGTGGATCGATGACGCGGAACGGATCGCCACATCTTTCCTCGGTTCGGTCACTGATGTGTCAATTGGCCTTGATGGGTCAAGCTGTGTGGGAGAGTTATATGATATATGACATATATAATATATGTTTCTGGTGTTGGAATGTCTGAAAACAAGAAGTGGTGGCAGACAAACATTTGATGGATGGGAATCCCGGCAGGTGGAGCATCAGAACTACTACTAGTCACGTAATTAGTTTGCAATTGGCAAGTCAAAGAGAGGAAGAATCATTTACGATGGGGATGCTTCTGTCAAATGCAGTTCAACTTGTTGTCAAAGCTGCATGGTGACAACTGCACGCTTTTTACTGTGAGGATTGTCATGGCTCCGGTGACAATGACAGATGACATTTGGCCCAGACCTCAGCAATCTGCTTGAGGACACACCCCTTGGTCCACCACCACCCCGGCATCCCGTTGTGTGGCTCCAAGGGCGAAACTTGTGACAGCAAAGAGACTCTGGGGCATGTTCTTTGCGCTGGACAATGCTGCAGAGTACGGCCATTGGGTTGTAGATGATAAAGCTGCTTGGTTGATGTCCCGATATTTTGAGAAGGTGGTTGCAAGTTTCAAGCAATCCTCAAACGCAATCTTTCCTTTCAAGAAAACCAGATTCTCTATTGTTTGGGAAAACTAGGCACAATTTGACCTTTGATGTGGCCAGGGTGATATGGTAAGTTACGCTACACGGGGGCACGGGCACACAAAGTCCTTGAGAAACAGTTGAAGGTATTAGCAATGCAGGGCTGGAGAGCGCCTGGAGCTGTAACCAATTATGACAGCATCTCCTCGGAAGATACCATCGGTACCAGGTCACTCTGTGGCCAATCCTGGTGCTTCTCCGCCAGGCCAAAAACATCTTCAGAAATAACTTCAATACGGCGCTGAGCGAGCAGGGCACGCTTCGGATGCTGAAACAGATCCACAGCAAGGTGAGTGCCACATGGGTCTTAGTGGAAAATTGTAGTGTGAGAGAAATATAGTAATAAGAGTACTGAGAGAGCAAATCTGCGAACCCCAAAATGAGGCTAAAAGGAGCAGCGATGGTTTTGGGAAATGAGCGTGACATATCCACAACTGACTGTCCTAGCCTTTGCAACCAGTGGTTGGCTATTAATTAAATACTGCAATTGTTCTGGTAGCTTGCATCAAACCAACGGGTTGACTGGTGGAGGGTTGGTTTGGTTGGGAATCCCAGCAGCAGCACAAACTTCAAGCCACAGCAGCCTCCAGGAATTGCGGGCTCACTTTCACCCCACTGAGCTCTTCAAGGCCGAACACTTTTGGAAAGCCTTGGAATGTTGTGGGTGATTTGGGTGATTTGGGGGTCCCCCAAACAGGGTTAACATCCCAGAGATGGAGGGATGGGACGTAATGGGATTAGCTGATGCGATAAACATCTTGTCAGCAACTCTGCTACTGTCTGCTACTGGTTCCTGTTCGGACTGTTCTGACCTTTTCATCCTTTTTTCCGGAAGACATGGCACATTCAAATGGGAGGATTGCTGTGTGTCTCAGACCTTTTGGCAGGGCGAGCTGGGCAAAGTGAGTTGGGAAGCCGCCCGCGACCTGGTGGTGCCGGTATACGAAGCTATGAACAGTGGAGGCCAGTGATGGCCAGTGATGGCCAGTGATGGCAAGTATGTAATGGTTTCCTCCGGGATGGGTTCGATAGACCGACACTGCAAAATTGCACAATGGTTCGCATTCTTGCTCATGGGTCCCAAGACATAGCCATGGCAGGTGAGTTCTTATCACAGGTTTCACCCATGCTTGGTGTCTACAATTGTGCCTTGGCTATCTTGCCTAGGGCTGGCCGACCGGCCACAGGAAAAATGTGTTAATGACTAGTTTTGCGAAAGAGCCGTTGTGGTGCTAGCAGCGCAGATTCCAAAGAAAAGAAGTTTGAATTTTCAATAACATCAGTGAGCTTGAAAAATTGAGCGGTATCACGGTATCACCTCCCAGTTCATGAATTGCCCACCAAACCTCCATCCCAACAAACAGAAATGTCCTATAGCACTGAGGTTATAACTGCGCAAAGTCGCCAAAAGGTGAACCCCAGCAGATCTCTGACCCTTTGACGGTCTTTGAATTCTTGTGTCCTGGCTGGTTTGGCAAGGGCTGGGTATGCCTAGAATTTTTAAGAGGAACCATCTTTGAAATCCTTGAACATTTTCAATGTGGCGAGTTATTTTTCCTGATTTGGGAGAAGTCCGTTATGGGGTGGTTTTTGGAAATGCTGACGGGTCTCATGGTCTCAAGCGCTTACACTTACACATGGAGTCCCGACTTCCTGACATGTTCAGCTGCTCTGTTGCAGCTGCACCACGTGGATCCAAGTAGCATATCAGCTGGCAACCCGTCATTTGGGCTTCGAGGAACTTCTCCAAGAGATATTCGCAATCAGATGTGGCTCGGCATATGGTGCTAAATTTCATAAGTCCAGCGCGGTTCAGGCAAAAAAGGGCCCTAATTTTTCCCACATGCTGCTAAGGCCACACTCGTTTGCGACTTGGGCACAGCCCAAACGAAACTGAATAAGTCAATTCATTAGGTATTTGATGGTGGATGATGGCACCACTGGTGGTTCATTCTAGCGAAACATCACCATCGAGAACCTTTAATTACATTACATGCAAATAATTCATAATATAATTCCAGAAAATGTGTGGTTAATCAGGATCTGGTTTGTTTACTGGCTTCGCACGCTTTGGGACTGGAGATAGCGCGAAGTTTCAATGAAAAACAAATGGTGGGGGCCTGACACTAATAAAACGTCGTCGCGCCCCATTACGCGGTGGATTTGTTTGCGGGCAGTACTAGAGACAAAATACCAACGTCGACAGTATGGAGCACTTTGAGGCGGAAAAAAAGGCATGCGTTAGAGAAAAAGAACATACGAATGGAAGACATTGCGGCTTAATCCCAACAAGTATTCTTCAGAAGGAACCTGAGAAAAGAAGCACTCCACAGACTATCAGATCCCAAAACAAATGAGAACTTCAACCAACAACATGGCATGGGTATGAAATAGCAAAGGAAATGACGTAACAAGCCAAAAATCAACGTGCACTTCGAAGAGCACACACTACAGAAGTGGAAAAAAAATGTTGGTGCAGAGTCTGAAATAAAGACTTGGAGTTCAAAAAAGAAAGACCCCCAAAGTACACACAAAATGCCTTGAACAAGTTGAGGTCCCCAAAAAGGGCACTCTCGGAAAACAAACTATGAACATGTATGTTAACACTAGAGATGCCAGCATGGGAACTTGAAGAAACATTGTGAGACTACCCCGAAAAAGAACAGATAGATTCCGGAAAAGAAGGCTGCAAGAAAAACTGATGGAATTGCGCGGGGGCAAAAATATGGTCAACAAGGCTAAGGTCAACAAAAATGGAACTCAAAACAAGTTAAGAGAAACATATTCCAAAGAAACACGAATGAGACTGAGAGTGTGTGGCAACGTTAAAGTCAATAAGGATTCCAATTGCAAACAAAACACTTTAAGAGAACAAACAAACTGCTTTACACAGCTTGATTTCCGTAAAGAATGCAAAACTGAAAGAGAAACAAGTTAAACTGCTTCGAACAAAAGGTTTGCAAACAGAACCCTAAAAACAAGGAAACTGGTTTGCAAAAAACTTAGAGTTCCAAAGCAAAGGAACCCCCAAGAAGAAAATGAAAACAAACCTAGTGTTTCAAACAAAAAGGAACTATATTTTTCTGTGCGTAGAGATTTGGCTCTTGAAGCTTCTCACAAGATAGTGTTCCAAAAAAAAGGGCGCAAGAAAAAAACGCAGTTCATGGAGCGTCTGAAAAATTAGAGTTCCAAAAAAAAAGGAACTCTAACTTTTTGAATGCAGAAAAACCCAGTTCTTGGAGCTTCTCAAAAATTAGAGTTCCAAAAAAAAAGGAACTCTAACTTTTTGAATGCAGAAAAACCCAGTTCTTGGAGCTTCTCAAAAATTAGATTTCCAACAAATTAGGAACTCTAACTTTTTGAATGCAGAAAAACCCAGTTCTTGGAGCTTCTCAAAAATTAGAGTTCCAAAAAAAAAGGAACTCTAACTTTTTGAATGCAGAAAGACCCAGTTCTTGGAGCTTCTCAAAAATTAGAGTTCCAAAAAAAAAGGAACTCTAACTTTTTGAATGCAAGAAATCCCAGTTCTTGGAGCTTCTCAAAAATTAGAGTTCCAAAAAAAAAGGAACTCTAACTTTTTGAATGCAGAAAAACCCAGTGCTTGGAGCTTCTCAAAATTAGAGTTCCAAAAAAAAAGGAACTCTAACTTTTTGAATGCAGAACAACCCAGTTCTTGGAGCTTCTCAAAAATTAGAGTTCCAAAGAAAAGCTTTCACGCCAAGAAACAAAGAGCACGAGAGGCAAATCCAAATTGGCATTTGCGAAACCAAGAACAACTGTTCGCATGCCGCAGGGGTTCAGAGGAGATGGTTCAAACCCGTTCAACCTCAAGGCAAAATGATTAAGAGCACCCAAAAGTTAGAATCCCCTCAAAAAGTTAGAGTTCCAAAAAAAAAGGAACTCTAACTTACCTCCCCCAAACCTGCAATTTTTTACAGGTAATTTTTTTCTCCTGAACCCAAAAATTGCCAAAATTCATGAAAATTCTCCTGCAACTTGGATAGTTTACAGGCATTTGTTCTCACATTTCCTTGGATTTTCAGTTCAGGGGGAAAAAAATACCCGTAGCTTTTTGGGCGTTGGATGGACCAGAAGTTAGAGTTCCAAAAAAAAAGGAACTCTAACTTTTTTTTGGAACTCTGACTTTTTTTTGGGCGGCCCCAATTTCTTTCAGCTCTGAAGCATGTTTGATTCAGATTTTTGTCCTGATTATATACTTCCTGTTGGTCGCATGAACAAACCTGGTTTCGGTAAAAGCGATTTAGATGTTCTGGAATTTCGCAAGGTTGAAATCAACGACTCAGAATCCAAAATGTTCATCACTCGGTTTTGCCGTCAGAATGCACAACTTTCCCACTGGTCCGACAATGTCTCTGGATTGATGTGAGCATGTACACTATCCTTTGTAGCAAATCCTTGTGCGATCAGGTTTCAAGACCATTTTTTCTGTCCTGGCTACTGGCTACTGGCTACCCTGCGCTTTGCGGTAATCAAACCTCAGCGAGTTCTGGTGTTTTTTAGAAGTAATTTTCGTGGGAGTTTCTTCAACCCAATTTCGTTTTTATCCTGTCTGAGAGTTCCTTTCTTTGATTTGCATTCTTGAGAATGCCCGGTTCTTTTTTTAAACCGGTTCCGAACTTCTCCCCATAAAATCCTTCTTTTGGGAACTCTCGGTTCAATTTTTCCTTTCACACTTCTTTTTTGGCACTCTGTTTTTTGTAGGATTTGTTGTTCTTTTTTGAAGCAATTTTTAGTTTTTTTCCCTGAGAGATAAATTTTTGGAACTCCATTTTTGTAAATAATTTCAAGTTGTTTGGGTTTTCCCATTTTTTCACGCTGAGTTTTTGGTTCAAAACAATTTCAATTTCTTTCTAGTTTTCTTTTTAGGCACTCTGATTTTTTTCCAGATGAGGTAGCCTTTCTTTCTTACAATCTTTTTGTTTTTGGAACTCCTTTGCGAAGCAGTTCTGGCATATTTGTATGTATACAAGTTTACAACCCTAAGCAACCCTAAGTTCCTTCAATCTATTCGCGTTATTCGTTTCTTAGGTTCCTTTTCTTGGAGCTTCAAATTTGGTTCAGACTAACCGTGCAATTTTTGTTGTAAAGTTCTTTGTTGAAACAACTTCACCTTTTTGGTTCGTCGGAGCTCTTACTCGTCTGACAAATTTCCCCGGGTTAGACAATTATTTTAGAAACTCCACTTGTTTCGCCGGGCAGTTTCAACAGAATGAATGACTGTTTAGATTTATTTTCTTTGCCACTAGAACTTTTTTCAAGCAGTGACACTGGTGTTTTCCCGTGATTTAGCATTGTATTGTTCGCAGCCCTGCTTCTTTTGAAAGAAACTTTCGTTACTGTTTCATACATCTCTTAGATTTTCCATCCTATGTTGATATGTTGGTTGGTTCTACGGTTATTTTTGTTCAAAACAATTTCATTGTTTGTGCTCTTTGGTTTCCTATGTCTATCTTTTAACGTCCAAGCCAACTCTTTGGCAAAACAGTGGTCAGAATCACCGCAGTTCCAGCATCCCGTGATTCTGATCCATGTTACGAGAAACTGCATAGACCAACTCCGGATATTTCTTGTAAGATTTACATTGCTGTAGCTATACTTATACGCTTTGCACTGTGCAATAAAGCAAGGAAAAAAATCAACTTGCAGCAATGCAGAACTTGTATTGACAATTAGGAACTGCCACCATGGACCGAACAACAGCGCCAAAGTCCTGAATTGACTGTTTTCAAGGTGCGTGTTTTCACCATAGATAAGCTTGTTTAGTTGATTCTGTTTATAATGGCCTCCTTTGGCATAACTCACTTGCCAAGGTCCCACATGTTCACAATGATCAGTGTGGTTGGAGATCGCCAGTAGAGCAATGCAGCATTTGGTACAGCAGTCAACTGTCTTGGGCTTGCCCATGGCAATCTAGTGCTTTATCTTTTGGGAGAAAACGCAGTCCGTGGATGGAATAGCCAAGCTGATGATTCAAGTCTGAATTGCCTGAATCACTTTTCGATCTGAGGCAATGCATCCCAAACACAAGTTGCCTAGCACACATCCAAAAAAAATAAGGACGCTTTTTTAAATTGAACTTCCACTAAAAAACATGACTTTTGAAATTTAGCAGCATATGGGTGCAGAAATAGGGTGTTCCCATAAACACCCACGGATTGATAGTCTATGATAATCTATGATAATCTATGATAATCTAATATTTCTCCGTTATTTGATGGACATTTTGGGTATGTATCCCCCATTCTCAGACCCACCCAGATGTCCGAGCCCATGTTGGGACGCAGGGTGTTTCCTGTTGGATGCTTAGTGTCCAGGATGTCCTGCACAGCCCCAGGTCGAATCATCCTTCAACCCTGAAGACTACATGCCAGCGGATGCCCCAGACCTTGCGGCAAGAGACACTAAAAAAAGCTGGCAGCAGCTGGCTGGAGGTTCATGGAAATCGATGAGGCTGTTGTCCAGGACCACTCATTGAATCATTGAATTTACAGGAAGGATCGCTCCAGATTTGCCGGTTGAGGTCGCTTCCTACAGCCCATCATTGATTATGGCAGATCATGCCACGACAGAGCAGCACCTGGGCTCCAGATCCGATGCAGGTGTCCACGGTGCCATGAGTCGGAGATCAAGTGATGGTCGGACCGGTCGGAGCATTGGAGCATTCTCTGATTTCTGCAGCATCAATTCCCTCGACTTTTAGGAGGGCCATTTCACCAGTAGTCATTTTTAGTGCCATAAAATTTTGATGAATCAATTTCAAAAAGAAGGATGGGTGTCAGACACTGGCGCACAAGAGGCTTTGAGCCCCAGCCAGTCTTCAACCGCTACAAGGATTCCTTGACCTTGTCGGCCGAGGAACTACCGTGCAGCTCTGGACTTTGCCAAGAGCAAGGGCATTAGCAAAGAAAGGCTTCAACAAGCTGTTCGCAAGGAGTGGTCAAGACTGGGCATCCACAGGTGCTGAAAATGGCCATCTGTCGGTCTCAACGATCTCCTTCATAAACAGATCCTGTTGATATACGTTGGTCTCTTTGATCTTGGCAGGCCATTTGGCAACAGCCTGGTTACAATAAAAAGGCCTATCAATTTCCATTATATAAGTTATATAAGCAATATATAGGCAATGGCTTTTTGTTGCATACCCAACCTATCCCAACCTTCTCCACCTGCAGGAACAGGTTTTTGTAGTGAAGTTCACTTATGAGCCCATGAACAATGGCATGTATGCTGGCCATGGCTTAGTGTCACTCAGAGGCAGCTGGTTGAGGGTGGGCTATTCCCAGCCTGGGTTTCCAGGCGCACCTCGCCACTAGTTGGTGGCTGGTACACACTGAGGAGTTCAGCATGGTCCAACCCAACCTCAACTTGACTTCCTACTTATTGATTTCCACCTTGTCAGCCTCTGTGCTGTGCACTTGGCGGACGTTTCATGAGGATCATTCCAAGACTTTCCACCCTTGAGCCGTCTTGACTGGGCTCCTCCACTCAATGGTGTCCTAAGGAAACGAATGCTCCCAGAGTATGGGAAATGGCTTACAAGCCTGTTGACTGCAAAGCCGGACTTGAAGGTGGGACAGAGTGGGAGGTTGATCTGGGTCCACTAAAACCACTAACCCTGCTCAGGCACCTGATGGGCTCACAAGCTCAACGCCCATCTTGGAATCAACGAGATGCTGAGCATGAGAGGGGGGCAGTGTGAATATTGAATAGTGAGCAGCTGGAGTGGTTTTTTTCCGCAAACAAAATGTTTTTTTAATAGATAGACTGGCCCTCCAACGGGATCTATACTCTGATCATAAATCTTTGACGCCCTCGTTTCGAACATTTGGAGCGAGAGCCCCATAGAATCCCTCATGATTCTGCCCCCCGGCAAGTATATCCCACTAACCAACTGGATTGGAAATCATAGGCCCACGATGTAGCAGCGGTACCGGCAACAGGGAATGCCAACTACAGATGGTTATTGCCGTTTTTGCCGCATTTGATATGCATTTGATGGGCATCCAGTGGCAGTATGCCACTTAGTCCAGACGTTCTTTCAACAGTCGCAGGCGCTCAGAGGGTCCAACCAACGTCCCGCGTTGCTTAGGACAGGTGTTTGTCCACAACACGCTGAACCCAGTTGATGACTGCGGCCCAAATTCTGCTTTGCCAGTCTGTGGCTTGGCCTTTTTTAAAACCTCCCAGTCATGTGCAGGGCCAAACAACGCAGAAGGTTATTGCATGCCATCATATGCCATTGCAAGATCATCAAGATCCTGTGCCATAGATTTATATGATCATTTCATATCATTTCAACGATTCAAACCGGGCACCTTCACTTTTGGTCCAGCTGGGCCACCGTTTGCCACCGAACTGGACCTGTTTGCAGGCGGCCACTCCACTTGCAAGTTGATGTGACCTGGCTTCCCTTGAGGCGGAAAGGCCTTTGTGTAAGGCTGCGGGGGCCCTCTAGAAACACCAAGGGTACACCATTTCCAGTGAACCAGGTATCAACTAGTAGCAAGCAACTGGGATGCAACCCTGACTTGCTTCAGCGTGAGCGTGATTCAGTGGTGACTGTGGTGACCGACTTTGACGGGAGGACAAAATTGTCCCAGCCCTTGGCCGCGTGTATCGGTTTCATGATTTTCATGCAGCATTCCATGCATTTTCTGGCCGATGTGGCTTTCCATGGCGCTGGGTGCCAAAAGGCCCCGCAGATCCCATCAGAGAGAGCCAAAAGGCTGTGAGCCAAAAAGCACTTCAGCCTTGAACTTGCAGATAGGAATCCGGAACAATTATATAAATTTACTATGAAATCGCCTATTGAGTAACATAGAATAGAATACCTAAATATGTTTAATAATGTTTAATGTTTAACATAATAATATTGTTTAAAGTTTAATGCATTTTGATATCTTGACTATTGATCAGTGGGCGGAAGTGTCTCCAATTCCGCCGCCCGGGCGAGTGGTGTTGCCGCACGGCGTTGCACCGCACCCGGGACATGAGATGCCGAGAAGCACCGCAGTCATGACACGTGGTCTGATCTGGCCACAAAGAAGTGGGATGGATCAAAACCTGTAGTTTTCCATTTCTTTTTTTTGGGGATGCACATCTACTTGCCAGCTAGTTGACCCATAGCCATACCCAAGAATCAGACAATCAGACCATCAGATCAAGAATTCCCTAAGAATTCATAAGAAACTCATTGAGAATCATCTGCATTTTCCAAGCTTCCCACTGTGAATTGCGGAAGTTACTGGCACCCAATTCCAGAACTTTTGCTAATACAGTCCAGCAAGACGGTGCATCTCTGGCTCACAGGGAGTTATCACACCACCAGCTCACAGAGCTTCGAACAAGGTAAGCTCAAATCAAATAGTCCAAAACTTTCCTGAGAAATTGCCTGTGGGATATCACCTATATACATCTGGGTAAATTATAACGACCTCACTGTTCTCCCTCACTGGAAATCATGGTTAGTAAGGGAAATCATCCCCTTTTATGGCCCAACTATTCAGGTTAGTGAAATATTATAATTTACCCAGATACATACGACAAGACAAACAAACACCGGATTGACATGACTTGACCCTGGGAAGGAATTTCTTGGAAGTTTGACACACGTGGTAAACTTATGGTAAACCCAAGAATAAACCAATCCCCAAAATCCCCAAAATCACCATAAATGGGTTGTATAAAACCATGAACCATACCCAAACGGTAGGTTTAATAATATGGGCCCACATTATTTAGATCCATTTGGGCTTTTCGACAGGAGGCTTCAGATCACCCCGAGAGCCAGAAGGGCAACCGTGGCATCACAGGAGATCTCACTCAGACCCTAGAAGACTATCGTTTGTCAACTGTATTGAAAAAAAATGGTATATAGTACTTGCAGTCTTGCGGTATACCATATACATATAGTACACATTGTCGCACACACACACATACATGTATACTATATATATATTGATTATAAATGTGCTGTGTAGGATCTAGATGAACATGATTGCGCCAGTTTTGCTACTTCCTTTTGTTTAATTATGCTGGCACCTTCGTCAAACTGGGTCACATGCCACTGTGATGCCTGCTGGATCCAGTTCCAGTACACCAGCAATTCACCTCATTTATCTCATAGAGATAGCTGGAGGAGGTGCAGCTCGTTTTAGGATCTCCAGTCAAAACATTGAGCGCTTTTGTTTTCATGGCTGGGATTTGGGTTTGGCCCAGGGGGAAGAAGGGCCCTAATTTGCTCCAATTGCATTTTACAGTACTCGTACCATATAGAAGTCTACAAGGGATTGATTTGCTGACACCCTCACAGACTAACTTGGCACACTGGTCCAACAGTGAGATGGTACTCATGGTCTGCGATTGACACCGTGCGTTTGTTTTTGCCAAGTAGATCCATGCCATCCACAAGGTGAGAGCATGGTGAAGGGCCGGAGAACATCGGATAACGACCCTCCAGGGTAAGGTGTTAGATACCACAGCTTCACTGTGACAGGCGGGTTGCCTACAAACACACAGTAAGGTGCGGCAGCTGGTGCTGTGCCACCCATGCGACTGCAGACGTTCTGGTACCGAGCAGCTGTGACAATTCTATTGCCAAGGGGCAAAGATCTGCAAGAAAGGCTGGTAATTCCAGCATAATATCATGGCAATGGATCCCATCTAGAATCTAGTTCCATGATTTTCCGATGCACAAACCCCCATTTATAGGCAGCTAGCCATGTCGAAGTTTTCGTTGAAGACACCTGTTTTCAACCTGTTCTGGACTGTGCGCCACAGGGCCTGGATGGTGTCATTGTGAAGCTGGGCAGGCCGATCTCCGCATTGGGATTCTCAGATTCCCTATTCCCAGAAAAATGGGCTAATCGACTAATCATGGTTCATAATGGCTTAATAATAGGTTAATCATGGGGTAATAATTTACCCAAGAACGTTAATCCCACATGCAGCCGGGCAGCTGCCAAAGTTCCCGCATATTCATTTGCTTTGCGGCTTGCGTCAGGGGAATCGCTCCTCCTCTATCAATAATTTGTCCTTAATTTTCTGCTCCGGAATGCTGGACATTTTGGAATCTTTGGAACATGTCCGGGCCGCAGCTCTTGGACTATGGGCATTTTGTGGTTTCCTTCCCTCAGCACCTCAGCTCCGATTTTGGTTCTGTCAGGGGCCTGTGGCAACTCTATAGCGCGTGGAGCTCAGAATTACATCCTTGCAGCTCATCGGCAGTGTGCCAGGATAGTTTCCACCATTTAAAACCACCGCAGAGACTCCATGGAAGGTGCTGCAGCCACCCCAAGGAAGAAGAACTTTTGAGAGCCCCATCTAACATTCAGGAAGCTGCTTCGGCCCAGGCCAGAAAGTATCTGAATGCCTCCAGCATGCTGGGACGCATAAATGGGAGAGAAGGAGTTGATGGAGCAAGTGCCATCCATGAAAGAAGTAAACAAACAACAACAAGAGTAAGATCAAGTATCCTCATATCATTTTAAGGTGGCAAGGGAAGCTAATGGGTCATCGTCAGAAGATATGCACGGCAACTTTTTGGCTCCTGGCCTATACCTCTGGGCGTGGCCCAGAATGATATTGGGCCAGCAAATCAGTCAGCATTCAGCCATCCATTTGTTGGGGTTATATAAGTTGCTATATATTATGTTAAGAATAAATCCACTATATTCGGTATACTATACAGTGTACAGCAACTACATCAGTTATCTCACTTTCATGAATTCATCATTTTCAGCCGTCAGCATCTTTGGGGATCATTTTGAAGCATGCCGCAGCATGCCGTTTTGCGATGCCTTGGTGGTTGTGGATCCCGGCGCAAGGTGTTTGTTGAAAGAGGTCTGTGCTGAGCTTTGCGCTTCTGGACGACATAGCGATGTTGGGGAGGTCCTTTGGGGCGAATCGGCTCTCCATCTGTGTGTCAATGGGGGGAGACCATGTAAATGGCAATTTTTAATGAGGAAAATGAGGATAAACCGAGAAACATGGATAAGCCATGAATTTTCGGGGTAATCTTGACGAATCATATGTGCGATTCTCAGCAGTCTTGTGGGTAGCCTTCGCCTGGACCAGGTAGTTTCGCACTGGTCACTGGTCCGGCACTTGGAGCTTGGGCGATGCGGGGGCTGTGGGGATCCATAGATGGATGAACTCTTTCTTTTTCCTTTTTGAGGTCAAAACCTTGCCAAAATTGTCCTTGCATTCGTGGTTGACCCACAGATTTTGGGGCTGCGCAGCAACAGAATTGGTAGTGACCTAGTGTTTGACCCCCACAAAGAGGGTGTCTTTCTTTCATCAATCAGGACACCTAAGACCTGGGTTTGTCTGAAAGTAGGGTCAGGAAATCATTTGGTTCGTATTCACTAATGAGTAATCATCATTTCCCCAAATTTCCCATAGATTGTTCTCTCTTCAAATGGCAATTCAAGGACCAGACGCTGGATGGAACGGGCTGTGGCTTCGATTTGCTGCTCGATCCGGGAGCAAATTTCACCGCTGGCAGCTGGTGCTTTTTATGGGGATCAATGGCAATGGATATCAACGGTGCGTACAAAAGTGGATATTAATGCAATTTATGGATATTAAATGATATTAATGATTATTATAAAGTATCCATGGATATTGTCAACAACAACAATCACCACAACTTAAAAACTCTATGAAACCAAACCAGAATGAGGACAACACATACCATTCCCCTAAATGATCCTAAATGTCAAATGCCACCAAGTAGACCAAGGTTTCCCTTCAGTGAATAGATTTGTTGAGAGCCATGGTGCTCAGAGGAGTATTTGATATATGAGGGGAGGGATTATAAGCATGAACTTTATTGAATGGCACGAGTTAAGACACGGAATCAAGCCAACTGATACTCTTATTTATTTTTTTTAAATATATATATATATGTAAATACACCGTTTTTTTTTCAAACTTGGGGAGGATGCACCCAGTTGACTTTCACAGATTTCAGGTGTTTTGAAGCCACCAAGCAGTTGACACAACTGATGTGTTGGGCTTTCTCCAGCTCTGTCCATTTCTTCCAGAGACGAGGTTGGATGCCAACGTTGGTATCTGAGCTGGCTGGAGTTCATCAGTGATGTTTTTGCGATCAGCTGCCACTAGCTGCTTTTTTGTTGAGATATATTGGGACATGCAATGAGCAAGTAGCTTTGGATGTTGGCAAATTGACCTTGAAGTCCATTGAGCATAGTTCCATGTTCGTTGCTTCAGCAAAAGTATGTTCAGAATGATTGTGAACTACTTGCCGCTTTACATTGCAAAGTGTAGGTTGATGTAATATTTCAATTGTGAGAGAGAGAGAAAGACGGTGGCATCATTATCCATCTTTATTCCCATCCTCATTGTCCACATCACTCTCGCCAATATCATCATATGGTGGATGCTATAAGTATCTTGTAAAGTATGTACCTCACCAGCTGCACCATACAATGCTTTTAACATGTTACAACTAATATCATCGCTGTGGAAGATCGGCCCCATGTGCATGACACACGGCCGTTCCGTTCCTCAGATGATGAGCCTGGTGCTGAGCCTTCGCGTGGCCTACGAGGAATGCGAAAAGAAACCCACGCCGCGACCACAGAGTCATGGATTTGAGCAGCATGACACTGTAGACCAAGTTTCCACCCATTATGGCCATGTTCAGAGTCTTAGGAAAATCGACAAATAAGATCAAATACATAAAAAAATCAGACAACCTTTACGGGGATCTTCTTAAGTTAAGGATTTCGAACCGTTTGAGATCCTTTGAGATGGTGGTCTTGAATTGAGCATGTCTTGGAATACCACTGCGAGGTCTTGGCCCAGCTGTGTGCGGAAGGTCCATTGGATTTTTTTGGGTGCACGTACGAATGTGGGATCCTTCCAATGCCATAAACAACCACTTGGTTATATTATATATGTCGGGCTTACCGCGTTATGTACCATTGGCATCCACATTCGATAAACAGAGGACAAAGAGTTGTGGAAGGGGAGGTGCGACAGAACAGGATGTGTCCATGTTTAAGATGAGTTGCTTCCCTACCAGGCCTCCAATTCCCACAATAGTTTGTCGATGTTTGCCAGTGTCTTGCTGGTCAACGAGCACTCTATGGGCAAACATTGGAGCCAGCAGGATCAACATCTCCAACATCTCCCAATATTTGACCAGAATAAAATGGTCCCAACAGAGCTGCCTTGCTAGGATATCTTAAAGGACAACGTCTCGGTGGTGGCACGCAACGTGGGCCAGGCCTGTGATCCGGGACGTTCCTGGAAGCGAAACGAGCGATTGTGGAGTGAACACAGAACAGAATGATGATGTATATTTTTTATGTTTCAATGTGTATATATAACATATATATTATATAATATAGTATATATATATATGATTATACTATATGACTATGAATATATAGATTACTTTGATGATATTGATGGTTCATCGTATGTATTTGTCGTATTGTATATTGACATTGTTGATCATTATATATTGACCTCTTGTGAAAAATGTGATGGTTCATGAAGATGTTGGAAGCGTGGCTGTCGAGTGCTGAATTCTGTGAGGTCCTGGCCTCCTGTCCTGTGACGGACGTGGTGCCTCCAGTGTTTGGGAAGCCCAGTAGTTTGGTCGGCGGCGGCGCTACGTTGTCCATGGCAACTGGTACTGTGCTGGTAAGACAGGGCCTTTAGGGGATTGAAGCCCTTCCTAAAGACGTCCCCACCAGAAACCCTGGCTTGGTAGTGAAATTGTTCAGGGGTCCCAGTTATACTTCCGGGGATGGAAGTACTTGCATGATCTTGCATGCTAGTGGGTCCTAACTCTTCATGCTGGCTTTTCTGTCGGTGCAGAGAAAAGTCTCGCCACTCTTGGATCAGTGGAGCTGGACTTGATTTCGATGGCTTTGCCACGTTATCCGATTGAAAGGACTTCCATGGACCTCCAACCGGCTCCAACCGGCTCCAACCGGCTCCAACCTAATTACCTAATTAATCTCCGCATGCGCATGCAACAAGTGCCAGCTCATCTTTGCATTTACCATTTGGATCCATTTGGCTCTTGCGCAGCTTGGCTTGTAGCTGCCGAAATGGCAAACCAGACGCAACTCATGGTGGCATCCCTTAACAGAAATCCACATGACCAAGATGCCCATTGTCGTACAATAATTCGGGAACCCATTGCACCACTGACTTTAGCGGGCTTCCTATCTTATATGAGCCCCGCGGTGAGGTTTTTAGAGACACAGTAGCTTCAGCCCTGATTGCAAATTGCAGTATCAGTGAGCATGTCCGACCATATTCATGAACTTAAACCGACCATGAATAGTCCACATTTTCGTCCACTTTTCCCAAATGTGAACAAGTTCGTTCAGATGACAACATTTCGACCAGGAACCCTACATGTCAAGGATTATTAATTATTATGCCAAAACGTTTTCAGGCGGGCACATTTTGTCAGTTTTGGTTTTGGACATGATGAATAGCTTTGCCACTACAGCTGCGCCCCCTTAAGTGCCATCACTTCGCTGAAGGGCAACCAGGCAGCACAGCTGGCGGCAGAAAAGTGTGAGGTTTGGTGTTGCGGTCCAAGGTCACCTTCAATGCTGTTCCACCATCAAACATGGCCAGTGCAGGAGCCCAGCTGGGCACTCAACGCAGATCGCCACATGCCCGGCAGGTCTCCGTAAGATGCCTGGAACTTCGGGAGTTTCTCGACCGCATTTGGTATGCTTTGCTCTATGTTGCTCTCATCATCAGCCACCATCCAAGCCATTCCAAGCTGAGCGACCCTCCAAGGCGGCCTTTTACCATTGCCGCTACTGCTGCCGTTGGAAGGTCCTCGGCGACTTCAGCTCGGAGCAACTCCTCTGGGCCGACGCGGTGCTCCCCGGCCGCGGCCGCGCCAGCCGTGACGGCCGGGGCCACCGGGCAGACCCGGTCTGCCGCAGCTGCGCCCACTTCGCCCTGAGCCTGGAGAACACCTCCACAGCGCTGGAGGAAGGGCAACGGAGCGTGTCCAGAGAGGTGAGATATGCGCCTTGGACATCCTTGGAAATCCTTGGACATCCGGCAATCAGGCGCCGCTTCGAGGGTGCTATGTCCCTTGTGAGCGAGCTTTTGTAACATAATTACAGGTAGTAGATGCTACTCGTGAAAGACCAGACCGGGTGTGCTGGGTGTTCTTGCACCTGTCTTTGAAATGAAATGTGGTGACCCAGGTATTGATATTGACCTTCTGCGGGGAGTATGAGGGAGTGCCGGAGTTCAATGAAGACATCTTGCGCTGCATTCTCTCTTTCCTCACAGTCAGAGTAGTGCCAAGGCTAAAGCCCAGTATATAACGGGTTTGGGGATCACAAGTGCTCTTTCATGATTTCTGTGCTGCTAAAGTCCTTTGACAAGAAGCTTTTTTTCGCTTCCAGGAAAGCCCAAATTTCAGGTCCGTTCAAATGAGGGGACTGAAAGTGAACTTTTCAACTTGTCAATTAAATGTGTTTTTTGGACCCATCTTTGGCTCTGATGTCAATCATTTTGCTGAGCAGTTTTCCATCAGATTGGAAGTTGTTGGTGCCTGTGCTGCTCTTGAGGCTCCCTTCGTGAGTGACCCGGGGGATAGCTATCGCTGTGTTGCCTGCCAGAGGGACTTTCAAAGCCTCGACAATGTGATGCAGCACTTGCGGACCTCTAAACGCCATGCGCCCCTGACCTGAACGAGGCTTTTCAAACCGTGGAGATAGATTATCTCGGATACGCGGAGTCCAGAATAAGGAGGTCATGTTGTACTTGTCACATGTTCTAACTCTAAGAGCCTAAGTACTTTTTTGGGGTGCAGTTACTCTATGGTCTAGCTATGTGTGTGTATATATATATACACATATACACACACATATATATATATAACAATCCTGGAGTAGATAGAATCCAGTTTCGTAGGGGGCGTTTTTTTTTTTGAAAAAACCCAGGGTTTTTTGACCCAATACTAAACTATATATTCGGACCCCCTAGATAGAATATTCCAAAATCTACTCCAGGATGCTCAAAATGTGCTTTTTTTTCCTTTCCTTTTCAAAACCTTCCAATTTATTTTTTTCTTTCAAATTTTCCTTTTCAAACAGCTGCAAAAAATGAACTTTGGATGGTAAGATCGTAGACGTAGATTCCTACTTTTTTTATTTCCTTTTCCTTTCACACTTTTCCCTTCAAAAATCTGTAATTGTGAACTTTGGATGGTAAGATCGTGGATTCCAGCTTTTCTCATGCCATGTTCCTTTCAAAGTTTGATTCCTGCTTTTCTCATGTCCTTTTCCTGTCACAGTTTTCCATTCAAAAACCTTCAATTATGAACTTTGGATGGTAAGATCGTGCATTCCAATTTGTTTCCTTCCATTTTCCTTCCAAGTTTCCTTTTCAAACAGCTGCGAGAATGAACTTTGGATGGTAAGATCAGCTATTCCTACTTTTCTCATGCACTCTTCCTTTCAAACACAGTTTTCCATTCAAAAACCTTCAATTATGAACTTTGGATGGTCGATCTTGGATTCCTACTTTTCTATACTTTTCTCATCTCCTTTTCCTTTCGCAGCTTTCTTTTCAAAAACCTGCAAGACTGAACTTTGAATGGTAAGATCGTGGATTTCTTCTTTTCTCATCCCATTTTCCTTTTGTTGCTTCTTTTCAAAAACCTGCAATTTCAACTTTGGATGGTAAGATCCTGGATTCCTACTTTTTTAATGCCATTTTCCTTTTAAAGCTTGCTTTCAAACAGCTCCAAGAATGAACTTTGGATGGGTAGATGTGGAGGAAGGGGCAGGGAACACCACAAATACATTCTCAACTCCAAGCATACTTTAAAAATTCAGTCTTTTCATGGTTCTAGAGGATATTCTATCTATAGTTTTGCCCAACTGTCCTAGCACAGTACTAGCACAAATGAACTTTGGATGGTCGATCTTGGATTCCTACTTTTCTGTACTTTTCTCATCTCCTTTTCTTTTCACAGCTTTCTATTCAAAAACCTGCAAGACTGAACTTTGAATGGTAAGATCGTGGATTATTTCTTTTCTCATCCCATTTTCCTTTTGTGGTTTCTTTTCAAAACCTGCAATTTCAACTTTGGATGGTAAGATCTTGGATTCCTACTTTTTAGATGCCATTTTCCTTTTAAAGTTTGCTTTCAAACAACTCCAAGAATGAACTTTGGATGGGTAGATGTGGAGGAAGGGGCAGGGAGCACCACAAATACATGCTTAATCCCAAACATCCTTTAAAAAATCAGTCTTTTCATGGTTCTAGAGGATATTCTATCTATAGTTTTGCCCAACTGTCCTAGCACAGTACTAGCACAAATGAACTTTGGATGGTCGATCTTGGATTCCTACTTTTCTATACTTTTCTCATCTCCTTTTCCTTTCGCAGCTTTCTTTTCAAAAACCTGCAAGACTGAACTTTGAATGGTAAGATCGTGGATTCCTTCTTTTCTCATCACATTTTCCTTTCGTTGCTTCTTTTCAAAAACCTGCAATTTCAACTTTGGATGGTAAGATCCTGGATTCCTACTTTTTAAATGCCATTTTCCTTTTAAAGCTTGCTTTCAAACAGCTCCAAGAATGAACTTTGGATGGGTAGATGTGGAGGAAGGGGCAGGGAGCACCACGAATACATGCTCAACTCCAAGCATCCTTTAAAAATTCAGTCTTTTCATGGTTCTAGAGGATATTCTATCTATAGTTTTGCCCAACTGTCCTAGCACAGCACTAGCAAAAATGAACTTTGGATGGTCGATCTTGGGTTCCTACTTTTCTATGCTTTTCTCGTCTCCTTTTCTTTTCACAGCTTTCTATTCAAAAACCTGCAAGACTGAACTTTGAATGGTAAGATCGTGGATTATTTCTTTTCTCATCCCATTTTCCTTTTGTTGTTTCTTTTCAAAAACCTGCAATTTCAACTTTGGATGGTAAGATCTTGGATTCCACTTTTTAGATGCCATTTTCCTTTTAAAGTTTGCTTTCAAACAGCTCCAAGAATGAACTTTGGATGGGTAGATGTGGAGGAAGGGGCAGGGAACACCACAAATACATGCTCAACTCCAAGCATCCTTTAAAAATTAAGTCTTTTCATGGTTCTAGAGGATAGTCTATCTATAGTTTTGCGCAACTGTCCTAGCACAGCACTAGCAAAAATGAACTTTGGATGGTCGATCTTGGATTCCTACTTTCTATACTTTTCTCATCTCCTTTTCCTTTCACGGCTTTCTATTCAAAAACCTGCAAGACTGATCTTTAAATGGTAAGATCATGGATTCCTTCTTTTCTCATCCCATTTTCCTTTTGTGGTTTCTTTTCAAAACCTGCAATTTCAACTTTGGATGGTAAGATCTTGGATTCCTATTTTTTTAATGCCATTTTCCTTTTAAAGTGTGCTTTCAAACAGCTCCAAGAATGAACTTTGGATGGGTAGATGTGGAGGAAGGGGCAGGGAGCACCACAAATACATGCTTAATCTTAATCCCAAACATCCTTTAAAAATTCAGTCTTTTCATGGTTCTAGAGGATATTCTATCTATAGTTTTGCCCAACTGTCCTAGCACAGTACTAGCACAAAATGAACTTTGGATGGTCGATCTTGGATTCCTACTTTTCTGTACTTTTCTCATCTCCTTTTCCTTTCACGGCTTTCTATTCAAAAACCTGCAAGACTGAACTTTGAATGGCAAGATCGTGGATTTCTTCTTTTCTCATCCCATTTTCTTTTTGTTGCTTCTTTTCAAAAACCTGCAATTTCAACTTTGGATGGTAAGATCTTGGATTCCTACTTCTTAGATGCCATTTTCCTTTTAAAATTTGCTTTCAAACAGCTCCAAGAATGAACTTTGGATGGGTAGATGTGGAGGAAGGGGCAGGGAACACCACAAATACATGCTTAATTCCAAGCATCCTTTAAAAATTCAGTCTTTTCATGGATCTAGAGGATATTCTATCTATAGTTTTGCCCAACTGTCCTAGCACAGCACTAGCACAAATGAATTTTGGATGGGCGATCTTGGATTCCTACGTTTCTATACTTTTCTCATCTCCTTTTCCTTTCACGGCTTTCTATTCAAAAACCTGCAAGACTGAACTTTGAATGGTAAGATCGTGGATTTTTTCTTTTCTCATCCCATTTTCCTTTGTTTGCTTCTTTTCAAAAACCTGCAATTTCAACTTTGGATGGTAAGATCTTGGATTCCTACTTTTTTAATGCCATTTTCCTTTTAAAATTTGCTTTCAAACAGCTCCAAGAATGAACTTTGGATGGGTAGATGTGGAGGAAGGGGCGGGGAGCACCACAAATACATGCTCAACTCCAAGCATCCTTTAAAAATTCAGTCTTTTCATGGTTCTAGAGGATATTCTATCTATAGTTTTGCCCAACTGTCCTAGCACAGCACTAGCAAAAATGAACTTTGGATGGTCGATCTTGGATTCCTACTTTTCTAGAACTTTTTGATGGTCGATCTTGGGTTCCTACTTTTCTATACTTTTCTCGTCTCCTTTTCTTTTCACAGCTTTCTATTCAAAAACCTGCAAGACTGAACTTTGAATGGTAAGATCGTGGATTTCTTCTTTTCTCATCCCATTTTCCTTTTGTGGTTTCTTTTCAAAAACCTGCAATTTCAACTTTGGATGGTAAGATCTTGGATTCCTACTTGTTTAATGCCATTTTCCTTTTAAAGTGTGCTTTCAAACAGCTCCAAGAATGAACTTTGGATGGGTAGATGTGGAGGAAGGGGCAGGGAACACCACAAATATAATCTTAATCCCAAACATCCTTAAACAATTCAGTCTTTTCATGGTTCTAGAGGATATTCTATCTATAGTTTTGCCCAACTGTCCTAGCACAGCACTAGCACAAATAAACTTTGGATGGTCGATCTTGGATTCCTACTTTTCTGTACTTTTCTCATCTCCTTTTCCTTTCACAGCTTTCTATTCAAAAACCTGCAAGACCGAACTTTAAATGGTAAGATCGTGGATTCCTTCTTTTCTCATCCCATTTTCCTTTTGTGGTTTCTTTTCAAAACCTGCAATTTCAACTTTGGATGGTGAGATCTCGGATTCCTATTTTTTTAATGCCATTTTCCTTTTAAAGCTTGCTTTCAAACAGCTCCAAGAATGAACTTTGGATGGGTAGATGTGGAGGAAGGGGCAGGGAGCACCACAAATACATGCTTAATTCCAAGCATCCTTTAAAAAATCAGTCTTTTCATGGTTCTAGAGGATATTCTATCTAGAGTTTGACTATCCAACCATACATATTATATTTACATATTTTATATCATTCACATATAAAGCATATGTTTCAATCATAGTAAACACCATACATATTATATCTACATATTTGATATCATTCACATACAAAGCATATATTTCACACAGAGTGCACCTTACACACTATAGTAGCACACTCGGTCGCTTTCCGGGGCGTCCCCCACATAGGGGGGTGATGACGGGATTCTGGAATCCCGTCACGTTTTTTGGCTATGCTCCCTTTACGGGGGAGCCGAGTTGTCAGCCCCTGGCAAGATCTATAGTTAGAATATCCCTGAAAAGGTCCCGGTTGGAAAAACAATCACATGTTGTCAAAGACAATTTTCTTAATTGGATTATACCCAGTGGTATTTAACAACATGTGCTATATCAATATATTATCCAAAGTGGTATTATAATTTATGGATTCTGAAAATACCTTTTGGGCTGTATTCAAAACCACTGTTGGTTCATGATCATGTATATAGAGTTTGACTATCCAACAGTTTATATCTACGTTCGAATTCAAAATCTCCAGGAGGTCCGGTGAGCACACCAACTCAATTACAAAATTGCACATCTTCAATTATCAATTATCAATTTTGTAGGGGTGATCATTTTACCCACACCCATGCCTTTATTGGGTTTGACTATTTGGGCATCCCGGGAACCAAAAATACCATTGCCAAAGAATCTACAACACATGGAATGGTTTTTGGAAACCTGCCGTTGTTAGCAGAATGCAGTAGGGAGGGGTCAGCACAGTGGTTGATACCATAGATAGAATATGAAGGAATATAGAAGAATATGGGGATGGATCAAAACCTTCTGTCCCAATTACACCCAATTCTATACAGATTACTTTTTAAAGTAGCTGGTTTTGATCGATGTCCAAATTCAAAATCTCCAGGAGGCCCGGTGAGCACACCAACTCAATTACAAAATTGCACATCTTCAATAATCAACTATCAATTTTGTAGGGATGATATTTGGACTCACACCCATTCCTTTATTGGGTTTGACTATTTGGGCATCCCGGGAACCAAAAATACCATTGCCAAAGAATCTACAACACATGGAATGGTTTTTGGAAACCTGCCGCTGTTAGCAGAATGCAGTAGGGAGGGGTCAGCACAGTGGTTGATACCATAGATAGAATATGAAGGAATATAGAAGAATATGGGGATGGATCAAAACCTTCTGTCCCAATTACACCCAATTCTATACAGATTACTTTTTAAAGTATCCGATTTTGATCGATGTCCAAATTCAAAATCTCCAGGAGGTCCGGTGAGCACACTGTAGCTAAATGGGTACGGGTCAAATTTGGCCCCAGCTAAATTTCAAAATTTCACATCTTAGAAAATCAACTATCAATTTTGGGGTGTGATAATTTGACCCACACCCATTCCTTTCTTGGATTTGACTATTGAATACCACTGCCAAAGGATCTAGATTTCTGGGAACCACCAGCAACAGTGACAATTTCTTTGGAAGATTTTGGGCTGAAATTTGCATGCCAGAACCTAATACACCAGCATAATTGACAACATTTGGTGGTCATTCCAAAAGGCCCAAACAACCAAATCACAAGCTAAATGACCGCTTTTGTGATCATTTTTGAGGGACCTTTTTTTTACCAATCATCGACCCGGATTTTTGAGCCATTTTGGGATTCTATCTATAGGTTTTTTTCGGACCGTTTTTTTTTTGAAATTCCAGAGATTCTATCTACTTCAGGATGGTTATAATATTGTAGCCGGCTTGGCCTCGCACTGCCACCACGTTTTGTTATTGTTTAGTTAGCCACACTCGGAAAGACAGGACATTTTTTTGATGTTGTAAGTTGTAAGGATTAGATTCGCCATGTACCGTCTCCCACCCAGCAAGTGGCACGTTTGAGGCAAGTCGTACGAGAAGCCCTTGGCGACGGCCGTGCCGAAGGAAGTGCTGGAGGCTATGTGGACGGCACATGTGGCGCGGCAGTGCAATGACGTTTGTGGGTGGTTGGTGGCTGGTGAACTAGGGCAGCTGTGACAGGTCTTCACAGTATATATCTTCACAGTATGTCTTCTATGCTTGGGTTCCGCACCTTCCAAACTGGATTTGCGACTGGCCAAAAATGCGGGCGTTTCAAAGATTCGTAACTGGTTTCAAAGATTTCACAAGCCACCGTTCGGCAGTTTGGAGCTGTTTGCATCCTGATGAGGTCATCCTGCGAGAAAAAATAGCGAGGGAAGCAGCCAGCGAATGCACGAGCCGATTGCGTGCTGAGTATCTCTCAACGGTACCACTCAAATCGCTTGTCAGACCCAGAACCTGAGTTCAAGCAAAGGAATTGCAGAGGAAGACTCAAGACCAAACCATGTGTTTGAACTAGTATGTAGCTTCATTGGGCCGAAGGAAAAAGAGTATATATATACACGTATATTTATAATATATGCATATATATATATATATGTGCATATGTATATATGTGGATGTGTGTATGTATACATATATATATATATCCATATATATATATATACATATATATATACATATATATATATATATATATATATGCTAAACAGACGTCAGTCTGTACAGATGCTCCGTAGCTTACAGAGGAACAAAGACAGCGTTTGATTTTTTGACTTCGCTACTAAATGCCGGACAAGGAACTTGATTTGCGATTGTACCCACTCACTTTGTGCTACCTTTTGGAGATTCTCTTTGTTGATGGTGTTGAGGCAGTACTGCATGAGAAGGCATCAAACTACATAGGTATGTCAGGCATCATGTCTAAAGATATAATATATCATGCAAATGCATCGTAATTTGTACATTCTGTAAAGTATTATAGAACTGTATCCATATTTTTGTGAACATGTATATACGTACATAAAGTGTATTATATAATTTAATATCATATATATATATATATATAATATTATATAATATTATATAATATTATATATAATATTATATATAATATCTAACATAATGTATTACATATAATATGATATATAAATGCAATAAACTACAGTATGATATAAGAAATAATTCATTATTTCTATTGTATATATATATATAAACAGAAATAATATATACATATACATATATATATATACATATATTCAATAAATTAATAAAACATAACCATGAATAACTAAATAAATCAATGATAATGAGAATTTATTATTTCTATTATATATATATGTATACAGAATTAATATCTAAATATACATATATACGTATGTATATATATATACACATACATATATATATATATATATTCAATAAATAAATAAAAGAGAAACACTGAATAAATAAATAAATCAATAATATATATATATTAAACACACACACATATATATATATAATATATACGGCATACATAAATATACATATATGCATATGGGTCCACGTGGCAGCAGTGCTTGTATCATCCCTTTGAGCTGTGCGCGTGGATGGTCACCCGGATGGTCATGGTGTTGCTGGTCATCACCGCAACGCTGTCAGCGTTGAACAGATGTGGAACTTGAGCGAAGCTTGGCAGCAGATGTGGGAAGGGGAATCCCATCTGCCTAATATTGAGCCACCATATAAATATATATATATACATATATATATAATATGCAGATATACACCGTATATGTATATGCACATGTATGTGTGTATATATATATATGTTGATCTTGGGCCAGCCCAAATGAGCAGATATGAGCAGATTCAATACAAACACATCCTTAGCGGAGGAGGGTTATATAGGGTTATCCTTGTGTGGAATGCAGTTTTCTCATGTCTCAATCTCAGAATATTGGATTCCTCCAGGGCATTGGTTTTTGGATCTCGGCCTGGCTCAAGTCACTTTCAGCTTCTCAAAGAGACAGCTGACGGTGCCGTGCGGTGGAAGGGTTGTCCATCAGGGGCTCATCGCTTAAAAAATGTTTGTTACTGTGGTAAAACGTAAAACCCATGATAAACCACCTTCAAAGTTCCCAGACATGGCATCTCCTTAAAACCTTAGGCTTATCATTTTGGTTCATTTCACCACTTCCAGTAATTTGGATGTGAATGTATTGCTTTGATAAACTAAAGTAACTAGTTTATTATCAACAGTTAGGGCATGGATGGGCAACCCAAAGTATCCCACACCATAAATGTTGAGACCTTGGAATACTTGGCTGATTTCATGGCTGGATGGCACGTGCCACTGTGCTTGCGCGACCGGCGCCCGATTTGCGCCGTGTAGCTGGGGATTTGGAAAAGGCCCAATGCCTAGAGAAATGAGACTGGAACGCCCATTCAGAATGGGTGCTTAGCTGCAGAGACGGACATGATTTGATCATTATTGATCATTTATAATATGCAAGTTGACCTCAGAATCACATAAGAATATATAAGAAGCACTATACTGGAGCATCGCTTCGCCATTTCATGGAAGTGTCACTCAGTTTTCTCATTTGCGAACTGCTCCAGGTCCATGGCTTTTGTCACGACCGCGGCATCCAAATCTGTGCTGGCAGCCTTTGGGCTGCAGGGGCCAGTTCAGGGGTGAGAGCCGGGAATTGGCCCCTGGGAATCTAAGATGTGTAGACTTCTTGATTCTACTCTACTGTACTTGTATCTACTTTCGTGTGTCGGCCATTATCGATATAGTACTTGGCAAGATAGTTTGCTGCGGTGTTTACTTTGTCGGGTACCCAGTCCGGAGCACACAGAGAGCTAGAATTTCTGCGGTGAGATTCATGCAGCGCATCATCATTTGTATGATTTGGACCATTTTGTTTTCAAAGTTTCAGAGGCGTGTCGAGCTACTGAGGATTTTACATGGGGTTCCTTTAAGTTCTATGCTTGCATCCTTCACACACACAAATCAATATCAATATACATGCAAACATTATGTATAGGCCTTTAGCCATCAGTGTGGGGCCACTCATCAAGAGGTTTTTTTCGACGCTGACTCTTGAACACACACACACACATATATATATATATATACATATACATTTGGATTATCTATCTTTATATATTTGAATTTTATTTGTATAATATTTGCCCCATGCCTTGAGGTATCTTCGACGAACTGCTCACCAAAGCCTCGTTGCTAACGCGTGTGCAGCGCTTCTTTGGCGCCCCCGGCGAGCTGTTTGTGCTCTTCTACGCGGGGCACGGCCGGCCGGGCACAGGTGCCATCACGTTTAGGGAGGCCCTAAATTGCTAGTCGTGAGAGATATGGATGTTGATGATGTTGAGGGAGAAATACATGGGGAGGTGTCAAAATCATTCAAAATCATTCAAAATCATTCAAAATCATTCAAAATCTATATTTTAGCCATTTTTAGCCGATTCTTTTTGAGATGAACATCCGAATGGTTCCATTTGTTCTCCCAGGGGACCAGGGTTTTGACCCATGGCATTGCCATTGGAAGAGTCTCAGCCTTGAGAGGCGACTGGATTTTGCAGGATGAGGATGTTTCTCTCGCTGCAACTTGGGCTGCACACCCACTGAACTCCAGCTTTGCGGAGCACTTGTTCTAGTGAATACATACATAATTTACATAATGACATATAGATATATCTATATCTATATCTATATCTATATCTATTCGCACATTGAATGCTTGCCCTGCGGTGCCTAAAGTCTTTGGTCATTTTGGAGCCAAATCGTATCAACCCAGTGAAGCCCCAGATCAAGGGACCAAGGGATGCATGTGACCTGTGGCCGGTGTGCCCAGGATATACTGCATCTTTGGAATCGAAGATCTGGACACGGCGTCCTGCTGATCATCAGCGATGCATGTTACAGCGGAGCATGGGTTGCTTGGTCGTGTGGAGCTGGAGCACCAAGCATTAGGTCCCACTAGGTCACTGGGGGTCCAAATCTGGGGAGTCGAAACACATATGTTTATCATTGCTGGCTGCGGCTACTAGAAGTGGATGTTTGTGGATACTGTATGGATTGGTTGGTTGCCCTGGTCATGAGCTGAAGGTAATGGAAGCCGCAAGGCTTCGTTCTTCAAATGTGCCTTGGCTGCGGGGATTTGTCAAGCCTGGTGTGATTTTAAAAAGATCGGGGGATGTTAGAGATATTATAGACTACAGACACTTTCCTAGCTGTGAACTTGCGAATCACCCCATTCCCCTTCTGAGGTTGTGGTACAATCTTCCTGTGCCGCCCTGGAAAGGGCCTTGGAATCCTGGCGCAACTTTAGTGACTCTAGTGACAGTGACAGGAGGAGATCCAGGCTCAGTTGGTCATCACTTGCTTCAGCTCAGGACGGAGTCTTCATCTCCCTGTGGCTCTTGGTGCAACGCTTGGAAGTTCAAGAAACCTATGCCCTGAAGCATTTGGAGTCCTTGGATCGTACCACGACAGCAGGATGCAGTGCGGACTTGTGGATGGGGGAGGTTTCTTAGACTGTGCCATTCAGGACGTCTCTGTAGGAACACATGCAGCAACTGCAACATACAACAAGGGGAATTGATCTAACTATACCAAGTTGGGAGTTGATTGGAATTGATCCACTTGAACCAGTTGGCACACTACAAGCTGCTGCCTTGCCAGCTAATGCGAAGCCTAGCTGTAATGATGTGCAGGTCATCCGTGTGTCTACGTGGCTCCTGATCCTTGGCAAGAAATTATCGTGGTGTTTGTGGGGCGTTAAGAGAACCAAGCTGAAGTTTGGTTCCGGTCATTCCAAGATAGTTTGTTCACGTCTCATGACATTCATGTCCAATTCATAGACCCATAGATTAGATTAGATCAGATTTGAATAGATTTAGATCAGAATAGATCAGAATAGATCAGAATAGATCAGAATAGATTCAGATAGATATTTGAAGACCACAAGCTGATAAGATCTGATGTTATGAACATTTAGGACCAGTTGCCAGGAGCTGAAGCCCGGCCGAAAGCCGCTGCCCGCGCTGCCCGCCCTGGGGCCTGGAGCGGATCCACCGGTCCTGTTGCAGTTGTGGGGTGCCCAAGGAGATTTTCAAAGGTGCTATCGGATAGGATTTTTTCGATGAAAAGATGATGAAAAGGATGTAATTTAGCTGTTTGAATGATGATTAAATGATGATTAAATATGATTCAATGCTGTTTGAATGCTGTTGAAAAATGGCACGGGAAATGTTGAGAGCGAGAAGAACGTCTGGACCACTGGCCTATCAATCTTCAGTCACATGTGCGAAGGCATAGCTGCCACAACCTGGGCCCAGAGATAGCCGTGGCACCAGAGATCAGCAGACCGCATGGCTCTGCAAGGTGCATGGCTTTGAAGATGGGAAAGTGTTCACCGATGTTCACCGTCCTTGCCTGGTGTTGGATCTTGATGCCTGGGAAGGATGACTTTGTGAAGCGTGTGCTATTCATGTTTCTAGACATGCTTCTAGCTTGAATGTGGCTTACTGCAGGTCCCAGCCACACCTGAGCTGACAGATCAGTTTCAATATCAACTACTTGGCTTAGTTATAGATGATTACAGTCATAATCCCGCCAGTTATAGTCATGGATAGTTATAGATGGTCATAATATTTATAGATCCATGACAGTTATTACTATCTATACCATGTTAGATCATTTATAATGGTTACTATAGATCATGGCAGTATCTATGATGGTATTTATAGATCATTTACTGTATAGATGCTTGCAGTTATTACTCGATAGACAGTTATTAATAGATGGTTATAATATCCATAGATGGCCATTTATAGTGAGTTTTCCCATAAAAAATGGTGATTTTCCATAGCTATGTTAGTTTACCGGAGGGTATTACTCGATAGACAGTTATCAAAAACCACTGGAATCCAGGACTGGCGGTCTGCGCCGCCTCCACTTCGCCCACAACCACCACCGGGCGGTGCGCGGCCGTGCCGAGCAGCGGCGAGTGCGAGGTGGATGTGACTGGTGAGATGGGGCCGAAAGCTCCAACATATACCACATTTTGAGCAGAGTATCATAGAATTGGATGATGGGAAAATTTACAGGAAACCCCTATATTTTATGGTAAAAACCATGGTTTCCTGTAGATTTTAAACCAATCCATTGACATTACCATCCATGTGCAATCTATTTTGAACTTTCACCGATCAGGTTTTTGATCTTTTTGACCCACTCCGACGTATTCACATGCTTTCAGATGCATTCTGTGGGCCAAGGGATAAATGGCGCATTTATTCAATAATCCCTCCAGAAGGTGGATGGCAATCCTACAGAAGATGCTGACTTTCAGGAATGCGGATATGATATTATACAGTAGTGATTTTTTACATGTGCTTCTTCTTCATCATCATCATCATCATCATCTTCTTCTTCTTCTTTGTTGCACCTTCTCATTGCTATCGATCACCATCCCGCCGTGTTAGGGCTACAAGGTTCGCAGCTGTCAGGGCCATATCGAGAAGAAGGAGAACCAGATCCAGCGCTCTTGGTAGAAGCCTGGCATGAGTTCGCGGTGGTTCCGGCTTCCTCCAAAATCACATCACACACCCCTGGTAGTTGTTTCAGTTGTGCAGCTTTGTTTGTTGATGTCTGACACTCAGGAGCAGCTTGCTCAAAGCGACTCCAGGAATGACGTGCTGAATCTTTTGGATGCGGCCTGTGTGGCTGCAGCCAAAGAAGAGCTCCGCCACGTTCTAAGCCACTTGAAGCTCCACGACACGCTGGGTGCCATTCTGCTGCAAGCCGCTTCCACTGCAGATGTGCAGGTGGCCCAAGCTGCCCTATGCGGCCTGTGGAATCTTTGTGGAACATCCCGGGGTTCATTGAGTTCGTTGGCCCCGTTGGCCACGAGTTGTGTGCCACACGCCTTGAAGGATGTGGCCCACCTGACACCTGAGTGGTCCGCACGTGTGGCCTGGTTGATGGCTGAAGAGCCCCGGTGCTGCGAGGCATTGAGAGCCTGTGATGTGGCCAGTGCCTTACGGCAGCACCTGCAGGGTGATACGAAACGCTGGGTGCAGCGAGCTTTGGGACGGCTGGAGGATGGCGGAAGCAAAAAAGGTCCTGTGTCTCACTCAGGGTCGAAGTGGTGAATTAACATTTGAGAGCTCGTCACCTAAGATATTAACCAAGCAACAATCATGAGCCCCCGGTAAACGCCACGAAATGTTTGCAAGCCAGCTATAGTCACACAAGTGATCAAACTTGGGACTGTACAGCCCACTCCTTAGGTGTCCTGTTTTCCTCGCTGCCGCCCAGGATGGTTGGGCGACAGACAACTGCTCCAGCATGGGGTTGAGATCATGGCGTGATGTCAGCGCAGTGAGGCGAGCTCCAAAAGTCCGAGTGCCAGTCCGATTGAGCCAACATCATTTGACAGCGAGATCCGATTGGCTTCCAATGGCTTTCAAGGCTCAAACAGCCCGCAGAACCCTGACAGGTAGAAGGCCGTAATGTTTCCATCATTTCTTCCATGGCACATAACAAAATGAGAATCTACTTGAATTGTTTGTGTCCAGGACGGAGGGGAACAGATGGTCCGGATTGGATAGAAATGACACACGAGCCAGCAGGTTCGTGCTTTCAAACAGATTAAGATGGAGGCACAGAAGTGGTCCCCCACGCGCTTTTCGGGAAACATTATTGGCGGAGAGCAGGGGCCCCTCTCGACACATTGGATTCTAGGATTGAACCAATTCTTGTGGCTGCTCCGCGCTGTCCCGGAAACATGCCCGTGACGATATCCTTTCTTGAACACCCGACCATGCTTATCAATGGTGCTGCGGCAAAGAAGGACCCTGCGGGAATCTGAAGGCAGATAACGCCAGGCTTTCCTGCAAGAAGATGAAAAGGGCCTTCCGACTGCAAATAAAGTAGTGGAGAAGCCGCTATTCTCCAAATAATGGCAGCAATTCCATGACGATGACCATGAACAACAACCATGGATCATGCTGGTGCTGGTGCCACATGTCGGCACCTTCCAGGAGATGTGCTTAGTGGCGCCTGCAGCTGAAGATCCATCGGCAGAAGCTTGTGAGGACCCGTGCTTCCCAGCAGGGCCATCCAAAAATTTAACTCGAGGTCATTGGACATCTTAAGAAAAAGACAAAACAACTCTTTTGCCTCCTGGGCTTTGAGATCCTCTGGTGGGTACCCAATTCCCCTACCAGAAACTCATCCACCAAAGTGGAGCCTCGAAAAACATGTCCGCCAGGATGCAGTCCTTCTTGGAGATGGTCGTGAAATTTGGCGCCTGGAGCCTTCTGGTCACTTAGTCTCGCAGGATGGTCGCTGCCTGATGGCGGATAGCACTGGTGTCCGCCTAACAGGGCAATGTGACACCGGCCCCGGCCAGGCTGGGTGACCTGGCCCGCTTTGGGGAGATTTGGAACATCCATGAACATCCCTAGATGGAGCACTGTTCATTTTTGGGAGCGAAACAAGGGACCAGGGTCGCGGATACAGTTAGAAGTTAGAATTGCAAAGGATTGCTTGTAGAACCGGCCGATGGCTGTTGGAAAATTCCTGGCTTCAGCCCGTTTCCGCTCAGTGCCATTTGCAATGAGCCGCTGTTTTGCTAGCGCATCGGCCCCAGATTGCGGTGAATGACGCTTTAATCTTAAGCCAAGATGATTGCCGGATAGGTATTGATCTTTGAAACGCACAGGGGTGGTATGGCCAGCGAATCGTAGAGGCCCGCAAGCCAGCAAAATGGTCTTATGTCTATTGTAGGAATTTTGATTATCAATTTTTATCACATTTCAATTTAACATAATTTTACATGCATTTTCATCCATAGGCTATCGACATGGTGAAGCTTTTGAGCCTGGAAGGCCTGGCAGTTGCTGGGAACCAACCAGCTACAGCTCGACCAGGGTGCAGAAGGCCAGCTTGAACCAGGGCTTCATCGTGGCTGTTTGGCGATTGTTTGCTCCCAATATATATATATATATGTATATCGTAGAATATAACACACACTTGCTCAGAAACATCTTTGCGAATTCTGATGTGGAATGCATCGTACGTGCAAAAACACTTCAGTAAAACCTAACAGGAGCTAAGTGATGGCCAGACTCGAAAGAGAGTCAAAATGAATTCTCTGTATGGACAGGACCGAGTTGAGAACAGACCCGAAAGAGAGTCAAAACGAATCATCAGTACTGACAGAATGCGATAACCGTATCAACAAGAAGTCCTCAGGTAGAGGTTTGGTTGTCACTTGGCAATGCAATGAAACAACAACAGAAAACACAGTATGACGTGTCCCCCAGCTGCGACTTGAATGCGCCCAGGAGCGGCACTGCAGGTACAGAAGTTTGCGTCCAAACTTCCACCCAGTTGATTTCCATAGCTTCGTTGGCGTGACTAGGAAATCAACCGTCACGCCCCCTGCAATTGAAAAGGAGATTGGATAAACGCCTGGTAAAATACTCAAAACTGGTTCATTGTAATGGCAAAGGGCCTGATCAGGAAAAGCAATTCCGTCAGTCAAGGTAGAAGTTTTACATCTGTTCAGATGGTTCACACACACGCCCCGCTGCCGCGAGGCTGATTAAGGCCCCGACGGATGAGATGAAGGTGAAGATGAAGGAAAGATGGAAATGAAATGACGATGAACATGAGATGAAAATTTTCTTACCCGGAACACGAGAGGGGGAACGCAAAAGAGGAAAGGAAAGAGGAGCAAACACCAGCACCAACACACCTAGCCCACAACGGGCAGACCTTGAAAGGGCAAGGAAAAAGAAAAGGCGGACGGACAACGGGCAAACACCAACCAGCGGAGGGGGGGGCGGACAGAAGCGCCTGACACAACCTACAAGGCGAGAGCCAAAGCCTACCTAGGAACGCGAAGGACCCAAACCTGACCTAGAGAGGAAAGCGCGCATGAGATAGGGGACCAATGGGGAACTAGTTGATGAAATAAGATGCATCCACATTACGTGCATTTTTCGTGATAACGCTCAAAGGCCCTTGGCTTTTTCATGTCACAACCCTGTAAACGGCTTAAGTTGTCAACCCCTGAATTACGTGCACAATTGAACCTCACCAACGGCCATAAAAAGAAAAAAACACCAAACCTGCAGGAATGTCCTGATGCCTCCACATGGTCACATGTCATGTTGTAGAATGTCGAGCTCCGTACTCTCTTGGGCAGTATTGAAAAACCGATGTTGTCGCGGCTTTCAGCTGGCAGCTGGCTACTCTGGAGATACACTCACTCCTAAAAAAGGTGAGTCCCTGGTACAGCGGGAAGCTGTTTCAACACAAACTCGACCGACGGGTGAGAAGCCGAAAGGTGAACGGCTGTTTCACTTTACTTAAACGAATTACTAATTCAAAAGTGTAAATTCAGAGGTCGTTTCAAAGTGTCAAGACTTTACCTGGAAAGGTATTCCCCGAAGGGTTCATGCCACCTTGACGAATCCAGCATGAATCACTCACTTGCTCAGAAACATCTTTGCGAATTCTGTTGTGGAATGCATCGTACGTGCAAAAACACTTCAGTAAAACCTAACAGGAGCTAAGTGATGGCCAGACTCGAAAGAGAGTCAAAATGAATTCTCTGTATGGACAGGAGCGAGTTGAGAACAGACTCGAAAGAGAGTCAAAACGAATCATCAGTACTGACAGATTGCGATAACCGTATCAACAAGAAGTCCTCAGGTAGAGGTTTGGTTGTCACTTGGCAATGCAATGAAACAACAACAGAAAACACAGTATGACGTGTCCCCCAGCTGCGACTTGAATGCGCCCAGGAGCGGCACTGCAGGTACAGAAGTTTGCGTCCAAACTTCCATCCAGTTGATTTCCATAGCTTCGTTGGCGTGACTAGGAAATCAACCGTCACGCCCCCTGCAATTGAAAAGGAGATTGAATAAAAGCCTGGTAAAATACTCAAAACTGGTTCATTGTAATGGCAAAGAGCCTGATCAGGAAAAACAATTCCGTCAGTCAAGGTAGAAGTTTTACATCCGTTCAGATGGTTCACACACACACACACACACACCACAATACACATATATAATTGTAATTGGACATGTGTATATACATACACAAACACATACACACATACAAACATACATACATACCTACCTACCTGCATACATACATACCATACCATAGCATAGCATACCATACCATTACATTACATTACATATACACACATTACACATTACACATTACACATTACACACATTACACACATTACATACGTTACACACATTACACACATTACACACATTACATACATACAAACATACATACATACATACATAGATATGACATAGATATGACATAGATATGACATAGATATGACATAGATATGACATAGATATGACATAGATATGACATAGATATGACATAGATACATAGATACATAGATACATAGATACATAGATACATAGATACATAGATACATACATAGATACATACATAGATACATACATACATACATAGATACGTACATACGTACATACATACATACGTACATACATACGCACATTACACACATTACATACGTTGCATACATTACATACATGCATACATGCATGCATACATACATACATACCTACGTACATACATACGTACATACATACGTACATACATACATACGTACATACATACGTACACACGTACGTACATACGTACATACATACGTACATACATACGTACGTACATACATACATACACACACACATACATACATACATACATACGTACGTACATACATAATCATACATACATACATACATACAGACAGACAGACAGACAGACAGACATACAGACATACAGACATACAGACATACATACATACATACATACATACATACATACATACATACATTGCATGCATTGCATGCATGCATGCATGCATACATACATACATGCATACATACATTGATTGCATGCATTGCATGCATTGCATGCATGCATGCATGCATACATACATTATGTATATGGTCGCCATTTCTATGTTTTGGGAGGCTTTTGATGGATTGATCCCGGCTCAGGCATGTGTTTGACGCTCTCTTCAAGCCCATTGGTGGATGTGGCGCAGGGACAAAGTGCCCATGCCACGTCAAGCATCGATGCCTTTCACAGCGCCGAGCAAGCGGTGGATGGCACGTCCTCCAGCTATTGGGCAGCTGATCCAGAGGACCAAGAGAAAATTTTTTGGATCTCCTTCCCCCAAACCAGGCTTGGAGAATTTTGGAGCACTTTGGAGCAGGATAATTTTTGGTAGTGAGCCCTTGGATGTCGCATGATGCAGCTTTTTGATTGGGATGATTTGCAGGAAACATCCACATCTAAACCAAAGATTTTAAACTCGAAACTCCGGGCCTGATACGTCCTCGATGGAAGCAGCTGAGCCCGCTTCCGGCTGCGGAGGCTCAAGATGTTGGACATCAACTGGGAATACCCTCCCGATGCCTTTCAGGTGGAGTTGACCAAGGATGGTGTCGACTGGGAACCTGCTTACGCCGTTGACAGTGGCTCGGTTGTCATGAACTTGCCATGATTAAATTTTTTCAGACCCATCAGCATGTTTTGTGTCCCTCATGGAAGGGATTTGTGTTAAACCAGAGCCTGCCATTATTGGCCAATGTTGGCCTCTTTCTTTAGTTGTTTGCCAAGTTGGCCTATCCTGACCAAACCGTGCAACGGAGGCAACATGTTGCATGCTACTCGTTCGCGCATCCCACTGAAGGGACAAGAAACTATTGGCATGAGGCTCCGCCTCCATGCATCAGACAAGCAATTGGCTTCTTGGGAGCAAGTGCATTTCTACTTGTAAGAACCTTTGAAAGTGATCCTCAAATCCTCATGTGAGGTGAATATTGGACAGGCACAGGCCAAAGATCAAGCCCGGAATTTTTTGAAGGGGCCATATTATTCTTCCTCGAAATTCATTTGCCGTACTGCTGAGGTTGGCATTCGTACTCTTCAAACCTTTTCCTTGAACAATTTGCCCGGCCTAGAGCCGCTGGGCAGAATGGCTTTGGATCAGTCTTCGTTTGATTGAAAGCTGCCCTTTCCAAGACAAGTGCACGCAATTGCATGGTTATATGAGTATGCACCTACCAGTATGATGCTTCAGGGTACTTGTCGGAACTTTCAACTGCGAATGACCTCCCAGTATCTCCCAGTTAGATGTGCAGCCAACGCAACTTCTAGCGCTTGTAGGCCCTGTGAGACTCCAAAGATGGCCAGGGACAAGTGGTTCTTAAGCAGCGTGACCCAATTCGACCCAACGCAGCGCTTGCGGAAAGCTGACTATCAGCTGAGTCAGTTGCCAGAGATGCTTGGCGAAATTCTTTCAGCAACTGCTGAAGCTGTTGTGGAAGGTTAGCTTTATTGGAGGGGTGTTTATTCTAACATCATGTATTCAAAGTCAAAGGATGTTGGAAGTGAGCACGTTCTGACGGTTGAACTTCCAGACAACCCCTATCCTAGCACATGGCCCTAGGTGAACGGAGCTGTTTTCAGAGGAATTTTCACTCTATAGTTGTTTTGTTCAAGCTCAGCTTCCAATGACACTATAATCTCCCAGCAGTTCTGCTTGATCTGTCACTTCCCCAGGAATCGGCAAATTGATGAGAGCTGGGTGGTTGAGAAGCCACCAGAGCGGTCATCACCAGTGGCTGAGACCAATTCACAGCGGGCATGTGAAGCCAGCGTCCTTTTGACTTCAAAAACGCTTTTATGCAGTTGGGCACAGCGGCATTTTCCGTAGCCCTGTCTTAAGGTGGTCTCTTTCCTGGAATCTTTGACGCCTTCTGAGCTGCTCCTGGGTTTCAAGTTGCGGGGAGATGGCAAGCCTGATGGGGGTTGGCCCGATTAGCATTTTGACATATTTTGACATATTTAAACTCAATTGCATTCGTGCTTCATTTGAAACTCTAGGTCCAAGATGGCACGTTGCTCAGGAAGCCCTTGACCCAGTGGCGTCAACAACACCGACGAACCCTGGAAGGCTTCCTGTGTGCTGCAGCGTTCGTCCAGGATGGCCAGGTTTACACCAACTGTGCCTCGGTTACGGCATGGAATGCCAGTAGTAGATAGATGTAGAGGATTATAGCAGGCTGGTCATGGAGCACGTAATTCTTTTTGGGGATTTGCGGTGTGGTGCCAGCTGAGGCACTGATGCGCCCACGCCGCAGGGTGTTCCTTGGCCGGAAAGCTTGCCATGGAGCCAGGATCTACCGGATCTATCCGATCTATTCTTTCTGGGTTCGCAACATTTCGCAACTCTCGTGAGCGGTTTGTTTGTACTACTTGCATTGACTTGCATTCATGTGCATCCGATATTTATACATCCACCTGGTCACCTGATCGTATTTGCCACAGATCCCTCTGGGATTCTCAAGATCACGTGACGTTCGATGACGTTCGATGCCAGCCTCCACTCAGGACTCTGGACGTGAATGGTGCTACTTGGATCCTCAACTTCAAGATCTTCAAGTGGGCGATGGGACGCCGTCATGGGGATACTGTGCGCGAGTGGTGGATTACGACGTGCCTTGTGCTGACACAATTTGCCTTTGATCTTGGGCTGTTCTGTTTTGTGCTGCGCTTGAGGAGGCAACTGGAGAAGGGTTTTGTACGGTTTTGTAAGTGTTTGTCATATTTTGATTAATATTTCTTGTAGCAGTGGAGCATGAATTTGGCATTTGCTTTTTTTTTGGGCAATGTTCTACAATTCAATGTTCTTCTGTCGCATGGAAGCATTGAGAATAAATCGCAGATTGAGATGAAGGTTCGACTGCATGGCAGCAGAGTAGGACCAACTTGTTAGAGTTCTTGACCGAGGCCCTACGCAAGCAGTGACCTGCTTGGCACGCTCGAAAAAAGACGTGTCTGCTGCGGTTTTGGTTTTCGCACTCCATCATTCTTTTGCCAGATCACCTGTCCAAACTCGGCGTGAGAACCCCAACCTGAACCAACACTCCTTTTCGATGACTCTATCTCACGCACGCGCACAGCTATCTACCTATATATCTAATTATATGTATATATATATACATATGTATAATGATATATAGGTTTTGATTTAGATATGTAGATATGCAATGATACACACATACTTTCCAGCATCACAGTCATGTTTCAGATTTAGTTTTTCTCTGCCTCTCAAACTAACTTGACAAGGATGCACACTACCCTTGACAAATCATCTGTTTTTTGGGTCCCTGTGGGACCCCACAAGCCCAAGAATCTTCAGTGCACCCTTTGCTATGCCTATAATCAAGTCCCCTGATGAATCGACATTGCTTCTCCGAATCGAGGTTGGAGGATTTCTGTCGCTGGTGGCTAAAGCCACACAAAGGTCAGCTGCACTGCAGAAGGGTTACTTCGCCCCTTCAGTGTCTTTGATTCCAGAAAGTGATAAGATCCATGGATATCCATGGCAAGAACGCCAGACCTGGAGGAAGTCGGCTTCCCTGGAACTTCTAACCCCAATTATCTCAATCTGATTTAATCTTATCTGATCTAATTTAACCACCTTTATTTTTTTTTGGTTCAGTTTCTCTACCCTTGCCAGACGTGGGTCCAGCATCGCCAGGTCGAGATCCAATCGCCTTGCAGGAGCAGATTTGGCCCGCGCTCGAGGAGGTGGATCCCCCATCTCGACCCCGGTAGATTCATGTGGTACCCTCTGGTAATTTAACATAGCTATTGAAAATGACCATTTATAGTGGATTTTCCCATTATAAATGGTGATTTTCCATAGTTATGTTAGTTTACCAGAGGGTACTTGGGAAAATCTTGGATGGAATAGAGATGAATAGAGACTTCAACGGATACACATGGATTGAAACTGTATGCGCCAGAGTGCACGAAGACTACATGGGGTACAGAATGTGGCTGACATTCAGCCGTCATGATCATCGACCTGTCGAGCTGTGCCTTTACTTATTTTCCCGCCACCCACCCATTCCTGACACAACAACGTGCACTGAGCCTGAACCAGGGACGCATTCTGCCCGACCGCAGCTTCCAGATGCACATCCACTAGTGAGGAATTTTGCAGCAAGGAAGGAAACGTTACATCCAGCTACATCCATACAAGTAAAATGTGGTGAGCCGCTTGGACTGAAAAACTTTAATTTGTGCAATGTAATTATTGCGATAAGTGTGCCAACAAACTGTGGCGTCACCAGTTGCAAGCTTGAGCCTATGATAGTTACAAGGGCGTACCAAGGCTATCAAGCACAAATCATTGACACAGCTAACAAGCAGCAAGTCCCCCACTCCAGCGAGTTGACCCATTGACCACTACATTTCCCAAATCACATCACATTCTGCTGCAGCCATGGTCGCCCTTGTGCAGCATCGTTCAAGAATGATCCTTGGACTGCCAGAAGGGAATTCTCATGCCCAGGTTTTTTTGTTTGAGTACATTCGCCATGATTTGAGCCCATATGTCCCATCAACAGAAAGTCATTCAGAAAGTCATTCATAAACCTTCTCCAGCCAGTTGGGGATCCTTGGGGATGCTTGATGCCTCCATGATATTCCATGGCATTCCATGGCATTCCATGGCATCGACATGCCTCGAAGTCCCAGGTGAGACCCGACTGCAGGCCATGCTGGGCCGCTCGCTGTCCGGGCGGCGCTTGCCCGTGCTGAAGGGTCGCGGGATCGATGCCGCACCGGAACCATCGCGGGAAGCGTTGCCGCAAGGCCGGGATGCTGGGAGCACGGCAGGTGGAGCTTCATTCGCATGCGAAAATGGTGAATTCCGTATAAATTATCGGTCCCCAAAATCGATTTCACCACTCAAGATACTCACTTTGAGGAAACTGTTCGTTGATGTCGATTGTGCTGTTTGCCATTTGGCAGACATGAACAGCTCGGATTTATGGATGATTGGTAGCAGTGGGGCAAAGTGTAATTCTTCATAGGCAGTTTTTGTCCACTTGTGCTGTCACCCAGCCACCCCAATGAACCAGTTGAGGCTGGATCAGAGTGGAGTCTCGTTCCAAGCCGGGCACTTTTTACTATGCACACCCTGCCACCAAGCGGACGCAGATGGAACGTCCCGTTGACCCGCGGCGCTCCAGTCAATCTGTGGCAGCGCCAGCCGTGGCGCCAGCTGCACGAAAGGCGGCTGAGCCAGCTGTGGTGCCCGTTGACGATGTCGAAACAGCCGAAGAGAAGCAGAAGCGTGAAGAAGCGCGGAGAGCCGAAGAGAAAGCTAGGGAAGAAGAGGAAGAGAGCCTTAGCTAGGTTTGGATGAACGATCCCAGACAGATCCCCACATCTTTGAAGACTGGCAAATGCCTTGGAAAGATTGTGGTTCCATTTGGTTTCAAACGGATTGCATCATGCAGCATTTAGTTAGCTTTTGTGTATGGTCCCGCTCCAAGGAGAGAACGACAGGAAGTTCTAATGCGAGCTCGTCAGCGCCGAGCCCAAGAGCGTTTGGAGGAGGAGCGACGTCGAAAGGAGGAAGAGGAGAAGGAGGAGGCCAGTGCCCAGCTGATGGCGCTTCCCGGTTCCAGATATGGGTTGACCATGGTTGACCATGGTTGACCATGGTCAATGGTTGACCGTCATGAATCAAGTTGCATAAGCACTTGGAAAATTTATGATATGAAGCATGCTGAGAGGCTGAGAGCAAGGAATGTGTGATTTATTGCCATGTATAAACAACTATACTATTATATTCAATTTTTGCTGTAGGACTTGGCATGCAATGCATGGCAGGATGCGATATGATGATATGATGCATTTCTTTGGCGGGAGGGATTATGCACAATATTCACGAGCTTCACTTGTGGGCCCAGCATGATGTTTCTTCCGGTGGAACTTCAGCGGATGCAGCGGAAAGGAAGAGCGCTTGAAGGTGGCACAAAGAAGAAAAGACAAGAAACAGAAGCAGGACAGACCTGTTTCAGACCTGTTTTTTTTGCTGCTGGTCACGGTCGCTACATGCTGTTGTACCCAATTTAAGCGTGGCAGGCTCGACTCATCTTGGTTTTATATCGTTTTACATGGTTTTACCATTTTAATCATCCTAGATTTCATGATTTTCCAGGAAGAAGAAAAGCAAAAGGCCGAATCCGAACGGCTTCAAAAGGAAGCTGAACAGCGAGCGGAGGAGGGTGCAGGGCCAGCACCCGTGGAATTGGGAAGGCGTTCAGATGCCAAGCATAATGAGGCCAAGTGGAAGAAGGAAGCTTCAGATGAGGAGGAAGAAATCACCCAAGAAGACCTGGAGAAGTGGAAGGACCTGCTACAAGGGGAAGTTTGTGTATTTTGGGGGGAGGATGGGAGATGGGGTATGACTCGACGGAGATGGTGCTTGGCAATCAATTGCACCCAGAAACTGCTGGGTATTATCTGAGATGGCCCACAGGAAGACGAGGAGAGACATGAACGAGAAGAAGCAGAAGCAAAGCGCAGAAAGATTGAGGAGGAAGAACGCAGACTCTTGAAGCAAATTTGTGATTGACCCTGGAGGGGCAATGAATTTGATGAATTGATTTGTGTGAAAGGAACTCTTTGTCACTTGGCAGTGGCATGGTTGACATTCAGCTCAAACTATCAAAGACCACTCCAAATTCCACCCTATCTCATCTCCCAGGAAAGCGTGAGGCAGAATTGGAAGAGCAACGAAAAAAGGCGGAGTTCGCTGCCGCCGTGGAGCGTGCCCGGCGAATGAAGATTGACCCTTGGTTGGGGGGTAGTGGCATGGTTTGATCAACGGAGCAACTTATGAAGGAAGTCCCTTTTGTATCTTTTGTCTTGGGCATGAGTTTTGTTTCAGCGCGCAGTATTTGGTCCCCATGCTACTTATCCATATGCTATCCATACACTATCCATCCTGGCCCGTGCGACGCGCTCAGGAAACGGACCGCCAGAAGCAGGAGGAGCTCCGGAAGAGCCGCACGAGTCCCTCCCCGTCCCCCGCGCGTGCTGCGCCCGCCGAGTTGCCTCTGGCGGCGCCGGCGCCCGTGGGGCCGGCGGGGCCAGCGGCACCGCTGCTGCCGCCGAAGCTTGACATGCCTTCGATAGCGTCGATGAGTGTTGCCTGGTGACGTAAAGGGCATGGATGACAACAGAAGACCATATTAAAATACATGATATATATATATATAGATCTATTTAATCCACAATATCCTGGCACATGATGGCTAGTGCGGATGAAGGTTGTGAAGGCAAGAGTATGGAAGCACGCCTTTGAGCTTGGGATGTGCAACAACGATATTTTTTGGATAACCTTGGGAACCATTTTTTGAAGCCCACTTCGCTTCCAATGTGCTCAGGTCCTCCAGCAAACTTTCGCGCCACAGCAGCCCATGGTGGTTCCACCACCGCCACCACCGCCGAAGCCGGCCCCGACACCACCGACATTGGCAAATCTTCTGAGTGGAGCTGCTGCTTCCTTTGCCTTTCAAGACATGGGCGCGCTGAATCACACAGAGATGCCTGCTATACATGTCTAGTCTATATATATATATATCTCTCTCTCTCTATACATACACACGCACACACACACAATCTGTGTGTGTGTATAAGTGAACCGTAAATATGTAAAATTCAGTGAAATGCTCTTTTAAAGATCACATGCACGCACTGACATGCGTATATGCCAGTCAGATTCAAACCTATAGTTTTGATTTAGCAGGAAAGGGTGCTGATAGACAGTCATTGCAAAGCGCGCTTCAGGTTGCTAAGCCAGACTTTGGGTCCCTGCTGAAGACGCAAGATGCAGCGCAAGATGCAGCACAAGCCGGGGGCAGTGGTGCCAATGGCACGGACACGGGCCCGCACATTGGAACCATCCTTTGGTACAACGGTCGGCGAAAATCTGGTATTTTACTTGCTGACAGGGACCGCAGCCAGCACAGACGCTCTGCAGCAACGGTATCAGCCATGATTTCCACAGAATGAATCGAATCATTGCTTCCAGTGTGCGGGAGGTGAATGCATGGGCCACCAAATCTACCTGAATTGATATCCTTTCAGCCATGTCCTCATCAAACAGGCTTTGCCATGAGGTCATCGAGTGGCCCCCAAGCCCACGAGCCCATTCCCCGCGGCCATCCGCGGCCCCGAGGAATCAGTGCCCTCTCGGTGAACACGGGAAACCTGTCACCGCCTGTACCCGCTGGCTTGATGCATGGCACACGCGTCAGCTGCTGGGCAAGCATGGAGTGAGTGTGTCACATTGACATTGTGGTTGCCAATATGTTGGACATATTTGTTGGTTATGTTGTTTGTAGTCTCAATATGTCTTATGTCTCAAATTAGAAATCTGTGGAAGAGTGTGGGCCCTGCTCGGCTCTCTTTGGCATCTATGGAATGAAACCCTTAAAGCCTGAATCGTGCTTCCCCACATGGGGCTAAAGATGCTTGGTGGCATCAATAGTAAAATCCTGGACGTATGATGCTGGCAGGCTACATTCTGGATGGGGCGGCTGGTAATGGTGGCCTGCCCATGTCCCTCGTCACAGTCAGTGCAGACATTCTTGAAATTCAACTCCTGAACGCATCTTAAAGCAAAAGAGCCAGCTTGCTGAGAACTTGCTGTGTCAG